TTAGCTCGGATGAGAATAAGATGAAACGTGTAAGTTCCTCTTAGCACCAACGCAAATTCACGTCTACGACGTGAAAGCAAATAGTTCAACGTCTCACGCATCTGCAGCGATGATCTGCGGACGTCACCCTGGAGAATTTTGCAAAGATAACAATCTTTTCCAAGACGTAGATGAAGATAATGTGTCTGTATATCCGGATGAATGATATATCTCGTATTATCCGGATGAACATACGTTAAGGAGGGAATCATATGCAGAAGGCCGTAAGGCTATTCCTTTCAGGCTTTCAAGGCTATTTTTACGGATTTTTTTAACAGAAACGATAGGAGCAATGAACTTGAGATTTTCACAGTGTATTCGTTAATGTACAAAACAAAATAAATTTTATTGAATCACGATAACCGATCCAATTTGTAATTATAGTAATTATAGTAATTTGTAATTATAGATAAAAATGCAATCATCCGTTTGCGAGCTCTGTGTTTGCTGTCGACATAATTCCGGACTTCTCACTACTCTGAAACCAAAAGCTGAGAAGGATTTTTTAAATATACGGCTGCCATTATAGCTCGTACTAAAGTGAAGGCAATGAAGCCAAGTTTGGAAAAATAATGACTGTACAAAAGAAAAGTATCGAAAATGAAACTTTCTTCAACTTGTAATCATGTTTAAAAAAATGAATAAAACAAAATATAACTGTGTTCGAGGTAGGGGCAAAAATTATGTCTACTACATATCGTGTAAAAATTTCAAGTTATTCGGTTTAGTAGTTTTTGCGTAATCGTGTCGACAGTTTAATGAGAAAATGGTGTTTCCACACACTGAGAAAAATATCCGAAATATCCGATTGTTAATTTCGTTATCCGATCAAATGTCCGGTATGTATTTAATCGAATATGTATTTGATCGGATAACAAAATTAACAATATTTCTGATCTTTTTCTCCGTGCAGATAAACGTTTAAAAAGTTTTATGTGTATTTTCTATATAGATGGAACAAATTTATTTTATACTTTAAACATTAATGAACACACTATGAAAATTTCAAGTCTATTGATCCCACCGTTAAAAAAATTCATAAAAATACCCTTGAAAACGGCCTGCTCTGCATATAATTCCCCCCTTAATGTCGGAACTTTATCTGAACGATCATTTGTCGATAATTTTATCCGGATAAGAGCGGAGCGCATAAACTCCCAAAGTTTCCGCTCGAACCAACGCCGAGTCCAACATTCACGGCCGGTACTCGCAAATTCCTCATCGCGGGCTCTCCGTTCCAACTCGTACGATTAATCGCTCCGACATCGACGCGACCGATGTGTCATCGATCAGTTCGACGACTAATTAGTGCGGCGCGTCAGACACACACACACACACATACACATACGCAACCTTCCACCTTTAATAGAATCTCATTTTCCTCAACTTGCTGCTAACGGGGAGATCGTCTCGATTACTTCGTATCGCAGCCGCGACCGCTCCTTTAATTAGAAGCCGGCCAAAGCTGCGCTCCCTCAAAATCCAAGTCGAGGCTGGCCACTCAGGGTGTCGACGGCGCGCTCGGCTTCTCCTCGGAGCAGGCTGCTGTCGGCGCTCATTAAACGCGTCAACTTGGCCACGTTCTATGACGCACCCATGTCGCGCTCACGTGAACGATAGAGTCGAACACGCTCAGCGGGTCGGATCAATAACGCCGGGCATGGCTAGTCGCCGGCTCGCGGCAGCCGCGTGCCGCCGTGTGCAGCTCGTTTCTGCTCTTCCTGTCGGAAACGAAAGCGGAAGTGGCCGGGGCGCTCAGGAGTTCCAGCCAGACGTGCCCCCGCGACACCTTTCGCGCGCGCGCGCGCGTTTGCTCCCTGGAAAAGCAGCCACTGGGTCGACTCCGTGTCGCGAAAATTCTCACATGGCCGGACAATTCCCTCCTCGCTTCTAAATCGCGCCTCGCAAAACGGCAGGATGTGGTAGCCTAATATTCAGGGAGGGATCCTCGATAAAATAGGGCTGGTCGTTTGAAAAAGCGCGCGACTCCCCGCGATGAGCCGCTGACCCGGTTGATTGTCGCGCACGCGATGATCAAGATTGTCAGCGGCGAAAACGGGGCCTGCAATCCGCCGGAACGAATTGCCTTCGCCGGTGCAGTTAGTTCCAACGATCCGATGTTATTACTCCCGGCCATGTGTTCGTCGCGATAGAGTCCGCGCGAAGTTCCCACCGTCTAGATATTCCTGGCCGGAGAGAGACGGCAATACGGGCGAGCGTGGGCGCGCGCGAAGGTATAACGAACGGAGGATATTTCCTCGGGAGCTCCTTCGCTTCGACGCGAGGAAAAAAAACAGGACGATATAGGACTACGCGGCGTGCCGGTCGTAATGCCGAAACGTCTGGAGGTTGCCAGAAGGTTAAAAACGCGACTGGAAGCCCTGCGTGTACGCGCAGTGACCGCTTTAATCCCCGTCTCTCACGGCGAGCGCGATATCGCCCGGGCCACTCGGGGGGTGGAGGGGGGAGGGGGGGGGGACTGTCGTGTGTACTTGCGATGCGTGCGAGTCGTTACTTTCAGGCTTATTTCGTGTCTCCGGGGCTTAATCGTGGCGAGCCGGGGTGACGTGACCCACCGCGACTAATCCGAGCGGCACCCTCCGAGTCGCATGGCATAAATTGAAAGTGAAATTCGTAGCCGCATTCCGCGAAAGTCCTTATCTCGCTCGGCGAATTAGCCCGGGGCGGAGGAGGGAGGGCGGAGAGGGGAGAAGGAGGCGCCTTTTCAGCGGGAACTGGCGACTCGCGAGTCGCCGCATCGCCATCCGTCCACCGCGCGCTCATTCATCATCGGGGAATTGGGTCTCCTTAGATCTCGCGGAACTTCGGAACGGACATGTTTGTGGGCACAATTAATTTCACCGCGCGACACACGCCGCTTGCTTTCGCGGGACGTGCCGCGCACGTACACACGTATAGGCGGCGAGTGTGTTTGTGCGTCGGGACGGATGAAAACATGCGGCACGGGAAAAAGGTCAATGCCGAGTCCGAATGCAAATTCAACGCTGACGTTGCACGCTGACGATGTCACAGCGCAATGATTAATGGACGAAAGCAAGAAAATTGCGGCGGATCTCGCGCGGAGTCCCCAAGAAGGATCGATGCGCTTTCGATCGCTAGGTGAAGCGAGCGGCTGACGTCGTCGGGCCTCTTCGGGACGCGGAGCGTTGCTCCTTCGTTCATCGTTCCGGGGTGCCTTTTGTTGTCGCACGACAATCCAAGGTTAATCGCCGGCGATACACGCTAATACGATCTCCGTCTCGTCGTCTCCCATGCCGGTTATCATCTCGTTCGCGTGTCTTCCATCGTTTGCATTCAACTCTCTCTCTCTCTCTCTCTCTCTCTCTCTGTCTCTCTCTCTCTCTCTCTCTCTTTCGCGGCTGCTTTTACCTTCCAGCTCTTTCATGTTAGTCTACGGACGTGGCGCGCTGTATGGCTCCGAAAGTTCGGAGCTTTACTCGCAAAAGCTGCCGAAAGTTCTCATAACGTTTGGTCTCATAATGTAGAATCCTCCAGCGAAGCGAGCCAGGATCACGCGAGTCAGTGCGACAGCCCAGCCTCCTTGATATCGTAATGATTTCCTCGATCTCGCAATCTCGACGTTCCATAACGCAGTTTCTCATTCTTCAATTTGCCGAGCGGGGAGCTAACTCAATTCGACGAATCCGCTTTCTCCGGAGGCGACGCAACACCGACGGAGTCTGAACTCCGCTGTCTGAAATCCAGCTGTGAACCGCTCTTTCTTTCTTTCTTCCTTTTGGATCACGCGAGACTAGAAATATGAAATACGATACTGGTCTCGCGTCGAGCAAAGCGAAATATTTGTCATTCTCACTTCCGCAATGTCCTCCGTCTTCCGCATCTTCCTGTCTTTCATCTTCCAATGCGTTTCAGCTGAATCCTGAATCCAAAACTCGCGACGCATCGTTGCTGACCTCTGAAATTGGACGATTTAGACTCTAGACGATCCCGCGCGCGCGCGCGCGCACACCTCTGGCTGTTCACCAGTAGAGTACTCGCACCTGTAAAACCTGTCGTTAGTAATTATTGCCGGTATTTGATTGCTGTAATCTCGCTGTCGTCGGCACGTAATCTCTGTACGGCACGTAGAGCGCGCGGAAATAAATCGTAATTGAAGGTTTCCATCATTGTGCACGCACCGTAGGATTATACCAAAGTAAGCACAGCTGTAAAGGCATATCGTATTTCGGTCATGAATTATTCACGGCGCATCAATGTCCCGGCCATTCCGATGACTCGCGGCTGCTACTTTGAGCGAGTCCGCGAGTCTCGCTATGAGCCGCTCGACGGAGCGCTCGTTCAACGACGAACGCGAGGAGGGCATAATAGATTACAAGGGCGGTAAACAACGCGAGCGCGCACAACGGTAATCAACGGTTCGCGAAGGCGCAGCGCGTTCATTTACCGTTCAGTGTCTTGCAATAACGAACAAGCGAGCAAGCTTCTCGTGAAGTGCCGTAATTGCAATTACCGTTCGCAGACTTCGTGAGTGAAATTTCGATGTACAGTCACGGCACAACACAGTATATATATACGACACGAATTCCATTCAAAATTAAACAGCGAGGGAGGGGGTGGGTATGGGGTGAAGGGGAGAGCCAAATACTTCGGGTCGCTTCGCCGCTCGTGCGAAACGCACGCGTGTCCTTCGATGCTCCTCTCGTCGCTTGGACCACGCGCGCAGCACCGCAATGGGCGATGCGTCTCCTCCTCGTAGCGCTTACCGGGGTAGTCTTGGTCGCCACATTGTCCGACACGCTGCGACACTCATTCACCACGTAGAGAGCAGCGGCGCATCCACGTCAATCGCTTCGTTCATGCGCGCGCCCAGCCGCGCTTCCTTCAGCAACAGTCGTTTGCTCACATGTTTACGCAACAGGTTTACGGGGAACCATATTGTCCGAGGGGACGGGTTGTGACGTATGCCGTAGGGCTGTCATACGAGAGAAATCTGTATGGATTCGCAGGAAACCGCAAACAATATGGCCGAGCCTGCTTCGGGCCACGGAGAGACGGTAAGCAACAAGCTTGACGAGCGTAGAATAGAAGAGCGCTGTCTGTCGCCCTTCTGTTTTTCTTTCTCCCATTCGCCTTTCTTTTCGATGATTCCGCGCGACGTCCACACACCGTGCAACGTCTATAAATCATCCGCGAGTCCTCCGGGAAAACGCGTAACGCCGCGCCACGTCGTCGCTGAGGGCCTCGCGCGCGCGAGGTGAAGCGCGCGTCGGAAGAAGTGGGATGATGATACCGCGAGTGATTCGTGGCTCGATCCCATAAGCGGGCCGAAAGTAAGACGGTGGCAGGCACGGTAGAAGCGGCACGACCAGACGTCACCGACCCGCATTATCGAAAGATCGATAAATTCAGGGTCACTATCGCGGATTTCGGCTGCCCCGCCGCGCCGGGGCTCCGCGTTTCCGCGTGGCGTCTCGTGGAAATCGCCGCGCCGCGAGCTTCGCCAACGGCGACGCAGGCCCCGGTGGGTCGCGCGTCCACCACGGCGACACCAGGATGTCACGAATGTTTCCTCCAACGTGAGCTCGTGAAGAGTGAGGCCGAAAGTCTGCCGACTAGCGGAAATATCCATTTTTCACGAGCTTGCTTCAGAGGAAGCAGACCGCCTCCCCCGCAGCGTCCTGTTCCGCGCGTCTCTATCGAACGCCAAATATGACTCCTCCTGATTCTCTGGGAAGCAAGAACGTAGCTGAAGCGACGTGCGAGAAAGCCGGCTGATCGGAAGGGCGTACTTAGCGCTCGCTACGCGTCCGGAACAGGTTCCCTGTAGGAAGCACGACTGCGGGCAATGCGACCCGCAAATCGGAATCGCGACGCGACGGAAAGATCGATGGGGTCAAGGTGAAGGTTAATATTGTCGATCGCAATTTGCCACGTTGCGCCCCGCGACGACCTGCGGCTTCGTGTGCGCTCCGCATGCCAATGTCGCTCGATATTAGGAATCGGATCCGCGACGTAATCGCCTTCGTCGTCGTCGTCGTCGTCGTCGTCGGGAGCGCTTTCGGCGGCGCGATATTGTGTGTCTGTGTGTGTGTGTGTGTGTGTGTGTATGTGTGTATGTGTATGTGACAACGAGAGCACACACGTCGAATTAAGGTATCATGACTCACGCGGCTAAACTGAGCCGATGGTAAATTTGCTCGGCTGCGAACGCAAGATAGGATCGTCAACGCGTCTCGCGTCTCATCATCAAAGTCGACCGATCTAAATTGCTCCGCGCAACATCGCCGGCCCGGTGGCCCTGCTACTATCTCCACCAGGTGGAAACTGTAGACGGTAATGGCCCCGGCGAGTCGCGAACTTCGTTGCGCTACGGGGATCGTCTCGACGGGATTCGTGACGGGATGCGCGGCCATCAGCTGTTCTCCGTGCTTGCAGCGTCGGCGATTGCCTGGCCCGCGGCGGAATGACACCGAAATTGGAAGCCAACCCCGTTGTTGTGCTTCGAACCGCGAGTTTACCACGCGAACATTTGACATTTGACGTGCTCGTGCTCGCGCGCGTACCAGAAGATCCGTCCTCGGCCAGGACGATCAAGCGAAAAGCATTCTCGAGATCACGGGCGAGTCCACGCGACGTAGAACGAACGTGCAAAAGATGCGGGGGGGGGGTTGCGAAAGTCGCTCGCCTCCCCCAACGTGCGATTTGCGAATCGCGTCGAAGCGTCCCCCCATCACCCTCGAGGTCGCCTTCTTGCGCGAGTATACGCAACATGAGCTGTTCTTCCGCAGGTGAAGCCAAACGCTCCTTCACCGCCGCAGGGCTTTCAGACGCGACCGCAGGGTCCCCCTCTGTCCCCTCGAAATTCGATAAATAATGGTCCCATAGGCGCGCCTCGACCAGGACCGCCGCTGCGCCGACTGGACAGTCGTTCTTCCCTGGGCCCGCCAGCTGCGGGTCAATTCGTACAGCTCCGGCCTTACGGTCCGCCGCGGCCGCCGGGAGGATCATTCCCTCCGAGATCGCCGCAGCCCGGCCAGCTGCCGCCGCAGAACCCGCTGCACCCTGCGAGTCAACGTTTCGCGTATTCCCCGGGGATCCGAGGCCCCCCGCCGCAGGCAGGCGGTCAGAGGCCGCCGTTCGTCGGCAACTATCAGCTGCAGCAACAGCAGCAGCAACCGCGGTTTCAGCGCCCGGACATCGCGGCCCAAAACGGACCGCCGCGGAGCACCGCGGAGGCCGCCCAGTACCGGCCCGGTAGCCAGGACGCCGCTTTCCCCAGGCATCTGCTGCGAAATGACTCCTTGCTGAACCTGCAGCGTCAGCACCTTTTGTCCAACGAGGAGATCAAGCAGCCGACGCGACCGCGTATAGTCATCGAGAGGATGGCGGACGTGAACGAGGGCAGCGGCGACGTCGCCAAGCTAGCCGAGGGCTACCCGCAGAAGAAGAAGCCGGAGGCGCGGGAGAACGGCGAGAACGACGACGACGACGACGACGACGTCGTGATGGACAGCGAGAAGTCGCCGCGGCACGACGCCAACGGTCTTCCCACCGAGGCGCTGCTCAACGGCTCCAAGTCGACGCCGTCGACGCCCAGGAAGCACGAAGACACCGCCGCCAGCCGGCCGGCCACCGCCGAAAGACAGGATGTGCCGTCCAGGCCGGTTTCGGCCACGAACGACGACAAGCCGAAGACGAACCTGGCCGATGACGATTCGGCGCCGGTCACTACCCAGCGCAGACCTTCCTCCGCGGCGGCGAGCGGCGACCAGGACGAAGGGAGGGAGGAGAAGCCGCCCAGCAGACCTCAGTCTAGCAAAGAAGCCGACGTCGTGAAGGAGTCCTCGGGAGAATCCACGAAGAGCGACACCGGCGCAACCTCGCCGCCCGTGGACGACTCGAAGGTGGACGGCAAGGCGTCTCCTCGTCCGCCGAGCAGCACGTCTATAGCCGAGGCGGCGGAGGAAGCGGAACAGCCGCCCGCAAGTCCATACAGCAACGAAGCGCTCGGGAACGCGGAGGCTAGTCTGAAGGCTCCCTCGAGGTTGTCGGACAATTCGCGGTCCAGCACTCCTTCGTACCTGGAGACGCCCCAGAACGCGGAGCAGACAGCGAGGACGCCGTCCTCCAGGAGTTCGGATAAGTCGCGCTCCAGCACTCCGGCCGGGCTGGCGGAGCCGGAATCGAGGACGCCGGTGAAGACTCCGGACAAGTCGCGCTCCAGCACTCCGGCCGGATTGGCGGAACCGACCGGCGCCGCGGAGCCGGAATCGAAGACGCCGATGAAGACTCCGGACAAGTCGCGTTCCAGCACTCCGGCCGGGCTGGCGGAGCCGGAATCGAGGACGCCGGTGAAGACTCCGGACAAGTCGCGCTCCAGCACTCCGGCCGGATTGACGGAACCGACCGGCGCCGCGGAGCCGGAATCGAGGACGCCGGTGAAGACTCCGGACAAGTCGCGCTCCAGCACTCCGGCCGGACCACTAGAGCCGCCTCAGAGCGCGGGGCGGGAGTCTAGGCCGCCGTCCAAGAGTCCGGATAAATCGCGCACGAGCACCCCGGCCGAGCAGACGCCTCCGCCGCGCGCGGAGAGGGAGTCGTCGGCGACCCCGGCGACTAAAACGCCGGACAGGTCGCGCTCCGCCACGCCGGTTGCCGGCTCTGGAACAGAGCCAAGCAACGAAGTCGAGAAGCCTCCGGAGAGCCTGCAGCGCGACAAGTCGCGAGATGAAGACACTCTGCAAGTGCTGAGGGACCCCAGCAGGCCGGCGTCATCCTTGGGCTCGTTGGAGAAAGACAGCAAGTCGCCGAGATCGCCCACGACCCCGGATAGTCAGGGCAAATTGTCAGTGCCGGGGTCGCTGACGACTCCGCCGAGGTCGCCCGAGGAGACCGTCAAGGGCTTCGATAATGGCCGCCAACGGTCCTTGTCGTCGAGGACGTCCGCCAGCGGCAGTCCCCGGTCGCCGAGCTCGCCCAAGTCGCCCGCCGGCAGCGTGAAGCAGCCCGACGGCGAGAAAAAGCGAACGTCCTTCGCCGAGGACACGACTGTCGTGAAGAAAGCGACGGAGAAGACGCCGTGCCCGACGACGGCTACGTCCCCGTCGAAGCCTACCACCCCCGCGGCTAAGATTCCAAGAACGGCCACACCGGCGAAGCTCGGCCACGAGAGAGCGGAGCTCAAGTCCTCGGAGAAAAAAGGTCCTCGCGCTCCGCGAATTAAGGCTGATTCTCGTTATGGCCGTCGAGCCCTTCGTCAATCCTTCCTCGAGACATTCTTCTTCTGGTTCTGCATTGCTCGCGGTGTCCGTCGCACCGTCGCGTCTTCAATCGGGATTCAGGCCTTATTTTTCGCCTAAACTGTTTAACATGTTTCAATCCTAGAGGATCAATGGAGATTTAATTTACGCATTTAGGAACGGAAGTCACTGTTGTAGGCTCTTAAGAGGACGAAGAGCTGTAGATTAAAGTAGAATCAAAGTAGGTCGACGTTGTTGGCGTTAAGTGGATTATTGAGGTCGAAAATAGGGTCGAAGTTTCGATTCGAGATATTAATCGTTTCAATCGAGAAACGTTCGAAGAATATTTCGACGGAGGGAATTGACGGGCTGCTGCTGACGGGAAGAGGATTGCTTGCATCAGCGCGACGATGAACGAAGCAAACGCGTGTTGCTGAAGAGAGACGGAATTTCTTGGAGCCGAATTTGGCTCGTGAGAAACGGAAATTCTCTTGGCTCCAAAACTTGCTTCGTTCACTGTCGCGTTAATCCAAGCGATCTTCTCTCTCCGAGTATCCGCCGACGGAGAATCAATCTTTAGGCGAAGAGCCTGTCGAACGCTGTCGATTTCTTCGCTTCGCGAACATTTGCTCAATTTTCTTGTGTAACATTTCCGACTGTTCGGAGGCACTATTTTGAATTTGCAGCCCGGCCAGCCGGAGTTCGTCGCGAGAATAAAATTCTTATGGACCAAATTCGGTCCCAGGAACCAGATATTGCGCTTCCACGCGCAACGTAAATTTTACAGCAAGAAAGTGCTCGCTCCTTCTGTCGATGCAGATTTCAAATTCACTCTCTAATCTTTCCAAGACAGACGCGGGCAACTTGCCGTAATTGGGACGCTTCGTTAATAAATCGGTTTGCAAAGTTGAGCCGTGTGTATGTATGTGTGCGTGTATGTGCGCGTGTATGCGTGTTAAAATTTTCATACTCGAGACTTTGCTTTCGGTACGACGCGTATCTGCGAATCTGAATCATTATAATTCATCAATAAATTCTGCTTCCACAGCGGTCCAAAACGGCAGCGCGAGCGAGTCGCAAGCTAATGCGGTGAGTAGCCAGCGTGTTACACATCCGTGTCCTCTCTCCACTCTCTTTCGTATGCATTAACCTCTTAGGCACGGCTGAATTTTGCGCGGGGCTGTTTTTCCGTACGGCAGAGTTCGACGCGAATTACGCGTAAACGAGTATATACAGCGCTGCAATGTGTGACGGACAATGCTGTTCTCTACGCGAGCACATCGGAATCTTCTGATTCGGACGAACTTAGTATTCTCAATTTTTTTACATTCTTCCTACCACGCATGTTTTTGTTTATGTCATTTTCGATTTCCGAGTCTGTTTCTGAATTGTAGCAAATTGCTCTTCGTTTTCTATTTTGAAGCGACATTTTGAGGTTAAAGATTCTAAAAGATTACAAGGATACGGATCGGCATGTTGAAAAGAGCAAATGGTATACCAGGTGTGTCGGTAATTCCTTTCCGGTTTTTTCGCTAAAGAAAACACGGTATTTATTTAAATGAAAAGCAACAATTCATACCTGACACCTGGCGTGTCAAAAACAAAGACTTGTATATTCTGTCTGTCTGTTATTGTTAACACTGTTATAAAACGTTGCGAAGGCAAAAAAAGTGTGAAACAAGACACATGAAAACGATCAGTTAATTCAAACGGTGAGCGCGAGTGAGTCACTAGAGTGAGCCACTATAGTGGCGCGTCGTAATATAAGATGACATCCGCGAAAGCCACTATAGTGGCGCATCGTGCCTAAGAGGTTAAGAACACGCTTTACCCGATTCGATGAACTGAAATCGCCCGAACGAAAACAGGTGCCGACTACAAACGGAGTCGCGGAGTCGCCAACTAAAAAGTCTCCCTCTAAGTCCAAAGATTCCGACAAGAGGTCGACCGCTGGATCGCCCACGAAATCACCTAGCAAATCCTCCAAGTCGCTACCACGAACACCCGAGACGCCTTTGTCGACTGCCCAGGAGAAAAAGAGTAAGTGCTTTTCGTTAATTCATAAATAATAAGGCTCGCGCATATCGTGTCGCTTCCCCGCCCGACTTCCCGCCTTTTTCGCGCGGCCATTTTCTACGTTGGAGGCGCAATAAAGTTCAATTCGACTCAAGGGTCGTACCGATCTCTTTGAATGACTCGCATCTTGAGCGAGCCAAATTTATAACGCAACCGAGAGTAAGCTGTTTGATCAATATCCCCGCGATATATTTCCAACTTCTTCTTCCGTTTCCGTACAAACACGACTTCGCGTCCTTCGCAAGCGTCTGGAGTGGAGCTCAGCGCGTCGCGAAAAAGAAGAACGAGAACGTCGAAGTAATCTCTCTTTGTAAAAATCACACGACGTCGACGTGGCGCTTGCTCAAACGAAATTTGTGTCTTCTGAACGTACAGAGGTGCCGATGAATAAAGTGCAAGTCGGCGCGGCGCCCTCGCCGAACCTGAAGACCGTACGGTCGAAGATCGGTTCTCTAGACAACGCGAGCTACAAACCGGGCGGCGGCAAGGTGAAGATAGAAAACAGGAAGCTGGACTTCAGCAAAGCGCAACCGAAGATCGCCGCGAAGAACGAGAAGTATACGCCCAGCGGCGGCGACAAAAAGGTTCATCTCTTTCGACTTCGCTGTTGATTTATTTTTCTTTTATCATTATATTGCGATATTGCGTTGTCGCGTTTCTCCTCGAGAGAGGAGCCGCCGCGCTCTTCTCCGTACGCGACGCGTTTGCCAAACATTAGCCAGGAGCTAACGAGACTCGCCACACCGTGCCATATTACAAGCGTCGTCTTCGAACTTCGGCCGTAGATCTCCCAGGTGAAGCTCCAATGGAACGCCAAGCCCAAAGTGGGCTCCTTGGAGAATGCCACTTACAAACCGGGCGGCGGCGACAAGAAGATCGAGACGGTGAAGCTCGATTTCAAGGACAAGGCGAAGCCAAAAGTCGGATCCAAAGAAAACGCGAAGCACGTGCCCGGCGGCGGCGCCGTCAAGGTGAGCGAAACCCGGCGAGAAGTCTACCGGTCTTATTACGTATCTGCAACTCGTAGATTGTCAAACCGAGCGACCAGTTGTTCGACAAACCTCCTATCTTGTCAGTCAGTTCTTTGCTCACACGTATCGCCGATTGACGGCGTCCCCAGCTGATCGATAGCTCTCTCCAGTTAACACGCGAAGAGTGTCTCTCTTTCTCTTTTCCTCAGTCTTTAATGATTTTGGCCTTTCTGCCGTTCGCGGCCGGATTCGATTTCCTGGTCTAGACGGGCGGATGGAGTCGTCGTTCCGTAGAATTTGTTTTTGAATGGGAATAATCGAGAGGCGAGTTGGCGGGTTGGCGTGGATGTTCCGACGCAAAAACGTCGAGGATTCGATAGAATCCATAGAAAAGTATACACTGTCTCTGAATAAGTCTGTTTCGAGTACTTTCATGAGTTCATCGAAAGCATCAGAATACATCTTGAATCCTAGCAAATTCGTTTAACGTTTTCATCAGGGATATTAGACGAAAACGAGAATGCTGAATTAAAACAAACGCTCGCTTTGCTTTCGATACAGTATGTCCTAATTTAAATGGATACACTGGATTATTTCTTAGAAAATTAAAGATACAAAAAGAATTGTTTAAACAAAAGTTGTTTGATTTGTAGGAGGATATAAGACAGCGATAGCATTTTGTTTACAGATGGCGCCACTTTCGAGATATTCACTGATCCTCAATTTTCTTAAATGGAAATCCCAACTTTTCATTACGTCATCTTTTTCTACCAATTAATTTGACAACTTTTGTCTGAAACATTTTTTTATTTGCCCAATATTTTTTTAGATATTTAAGGATAACTTGGTAACTTTTTCAACATTTAACTTACGACATCTCGCTATTTACCTCGAAAGAAAAAATGGTGTTAGACTTTTTTACTCTTTTTGACGTCAAGAACATATTGTATATGTATTGTAAGAATATATTGTGTATTATCTGCAAACAAAATGCTATCGCTCTCTTATGTCTCCCTTCAAATCAAACAACTTTTGTTTAAACAATTTTTTGTATCTTTAATTTTCTAAGAAATAATCAAGCGTATCTACTTAAATCACTCGCGCTCTGCCTACCGCGTAGGCAGAGCGCGAGTTTTATAATATTCTTGAAAAGAGGATAAATTTTTTTCTCAGTACATGACAATGAGAGTTTTCCCAAAGTTTGTAATTTTATTGTGAGGAAAAAACACTCTTTGCTGGAAGTACAAGTACAATTACTTAAAAAAGCGGACGCAAATGCTTCTCCCAGCAGCGGAATGATCCGCCTTGCCCTGTGCGCGCCTGCCGCCACCTAGACCGATCGTGAGGATTCGACCTTGATTAGCGAGATTAGCATGAAAGTGTTACTTTCTTCTGCATCATGCCCGAACTAATCCCGCAGGCGACCTAACGTATGCATTTACATGTATCCATTTGCGTATACATTTTAGTCGTTAGTACTTGTTTAATAATTACTCGGATAAGGGACAAACGATACACGCAACTCTCTCCTTCTTTATGTGTGTTTAACTCAAAGAACTATTACATATAATACGAGGGCAGCCTGAAAAGTTCTCGGCCTAACAATGAAAGAAAATTCTTTTTGCCGTGAAATATGTTTTACTTTTCAATATAATCTCCTGAAACTTCAATACATTTATTCCAACGTTTTTTTTCCCAATAATTCAATACCATCATTAAAGTGTGATTCCGGAAGGCTCTTTTCGCTCTGATGGTATAGTGGTGGATCCAAGTTTCATCAACAGTTATGAAACGACGCTTGAAATCCATTTTATTTCGCTTAAAACGATCCAAACACGCTTGAGAAATACGCATTCGAACGCGTTTTTGGTCAATTAGGTTAGCAAATGCGGCACCCGTCTCTGCACAAAGCTTTTTCAACTGGTGCTACTACTCGAATGACTTGACTAGATCGAATAAAATTTTACATGGGTTTATATCAGGGATGCCACTTTCCAATACGATTATAGTTTGACAGTTTCTAATGCCATGTGCGTGTCAGGTCGAGAACTTTCCAGACTGCCTACGTATATATGCATATACATATATATACATAAATTTTCATCTATTTACACAGATACTATCGCCTCGTAACTCGCAGCTGGCTGACTCGACGGCAGAAGCTTAACTGCGTTTAGCATTTATTTCATCGGTAGAACCCGTTACGAATGCAATATCCTCGCTTCGTTCTCCATTGTGTATCCGCAAAGTATCCGAAATAATTATACTTTCACAATTATGCGCTACTTCGAATTTTATTGAACGATTGCATGCGGAATGTGCTGGCGTAGTCGTACGATAGTGCGAACGGAGTTGTCACTTTTAAGTCGTAAGAATGGCGACGCGGGGGGCAGTGCTTTGAGCACACCGACGTGTCGCGGAGTGAAGTCGACGATTCCAGTTTCGGATCGCGCGACCTGGCATGGCTGATTTCACTTCGCAGTCGTCGAGACTCCGAGACGCGTCGATTACACGAATATGCGCATTAATTTCCCTCAAAGTCCGAAGGGCAAATATGTGTGACGCATTGCCGCATCACGGGAACGTCACGGGGGCCAATTGTGTGCAGCTAATTCGTTTACGCATGTGTCGTATCTCGTCATTATTAACAAGCCATTGTTATTTCTTGGTGTTCAGTCCGCGACTCCACCTAAGACACCGCAGGAAGCGAAGAACGACGTAAGTATATGCCCATATCAGCTAATGAAAACTTCAGACTCTCCAAGTCGAGCGTGATACATATACGTCGCTTCTCTCTTTCCTCTTCTTCTCCCTCACTTTTTCACTCTTTTTCTGCTCCGTCCGATCCGTCGTCCGGCCGTGACGTAGAGTCGTCCCGTCGTGCGGGACGAAATTAATTCCTCGAGTCTCCGCGGAGTCGAGATCGTGGGGGTGAAACACGCGAGAGCGCGGCGATCGCGCATATAACATGCAATAACCCTCCACTCTGGAAATCACTATTTACAATCGGATCGAATCCGCCCCGCCTCCACGATTTACGAGATTCGCGAGAAAAGGTGCTTATCGACACTTTGTAAATCGCTAAAGTTGTTCCATATCGCGCTCTATATCTGGACGTAAGTACGTAAAGTGTACATTGGACGAAATCAATTATCTCAGCATGGTTCTGCATGTCTCAAAATTTACATAGATTCTACTAGAGAGAGAGAGAGAGAGAGAGAGAGAGAGAGAGAGAGAGAGAGAGAGAGAGAGAGAGATCTACGCGAATCGAGGACTCTCTGTGTCGAGTCGAATTCAATCGCATCGAATCGACGAAATCCCTTCATCCGAATCGGACCGAATCGTTGAGATTTAATTTGCAATCAACAACGTCGTTGATAAAACAAGGCTCCTGTAGGAGTCAGTCGTCGGATATCATTGCGAGTCATTACAAGTTCCAGAGGGATAAGAATAAGAGATAAATCAACCGACCTCGGTTACTGTCTCGGCCAGGAATCGATCCTGAATCGAAGCTCCCCACTTGCCGAGTCTCAAGCGCGTTTAAATTTCCACAATTCGAGTAGAGTTCAAGTAGAGTTGGAATGCCAACGATAAAGATTCGATTCGATTCGATTCGAATAGCTCGCATGTCTCATCGGCATCGAGCGAATTGCGATACTACGCAGTATACTTGCGACCAATTTTGTAGCGCTGCCTATTCGCGGGAATGAAATTCGTGAGAAAGAAACGTGAGAGAGAGAGAGAGAGAGAGGGAGAGGGAGAGAGAGAGAGAGAGAAAAAAAGACCTGTCCTTTCAGCTCCTTCACCTCTATTCTCTTTCTCTGCTTGCTTCACCGACTGCGACTTCACTGACCGATGGCTGACACGAAGTATCGTTTCTCTTTCCAGATTCCGACGCAAAAGATGGATATCAAGGCCGAAAGCAAGATTGGCTCGTTGGATAACATGAAGCACAAGCCGGGCGGTGGCGACAAAAAGATCTTCAACGACAGAGACTATCTCCGACAGACGAGTTCCAACGTGGAGAGCTTGAACGGTAGCGGGTCCCAGGTATGTTCGCGATATGAAGAAGCCTTGATAATCAATCGCGTCGTTTCCCAATCGTGCACGGCAGAGGCTCCAGCGCGGTCTCCTCGCGATCTCATCGACGATGAAGAATCCCACAGAATCCGACGAGCCGGCCACACTTCTCGAGATTTGTCGCATTTAATATACGCACCGAGTGCTTAATCACGCGTTTGTGCATGAGTCTTGGAGATGCCACATGCAGCACGTAAACTAAACTTGGCTCGCACCTACAGATATGTTGTAGGAGGGGGGCGGGGTAGTGTCTAACAAGCAAGTACACGACTAGAAAAAGCCGTAGAGCATCGCGCTGAAAATTGCCTCGCTTCGGTGAAACGTCGAGATTTCTTCGCGAAAAATCCCCTCGACGAAATTGGCGGTCGAATTTGCCGAACTTTCCTGCCGAATGTTTCGCAACATTCTCACAGGACTAAGAAAGCACTCGAAGGGGGTGTTATAACGCAACAGAAAGAGAGAAAGGGAGATAACGTCGTTCGTTGAGCAGACTGATTCTCCGCATTGCCCGAATCCGAACTTCTCCGGGAACGCGCTTTCTCCAACGCCTCTTCTTCCACCTCGCAGATCACTTTCTATTCTGTTCTATCGAGTTTCTGCTGGTTCTTACCTTCGCAAAAAAACGCGTCTACCGCCGTGCGTAACTGAGATTAAGGGCCGCTTCCTTCGCCGTTGATTAAATTACGTGACCGCAGTATGAGCTCCCATCTCCCTTCGTCCCTTCTCGGATTTCGTCTCTGAGGAGACGGGGAGGAAGAGAGACGCAGAGGGGCGCGAACGGAAATTTGCGGAAGTGACCACTCTGGGTGGAAACTTCACGTGCGGCGAATTCATCGATGCGAAAGATTATTCCTCAAATAATAGATCCACTTTCGAAGTTTGTCCGCGCGTTGCGATGGCTTCCATTCAACGCACGCACTGAGAGAAAAGTATATGATATTTGGAACTATAATGATATAGTAACTAAATTATTGTCCGAAATATCATATTTATAGTAAGTATTACCATAATATCGGTAATAATTACGATATAGGCATAGTGTAACCAAACATATAATATTTTTACTGAGAATTATAGTAAGTTAAACGAAAATTATTGTATGAATACAAATATAAAATGGTAGGTAAAGTAACTCTTTTATATAGTCAATATTACCAGAATATTTGCTAAACGATGACAGATGTAACTATATGAATATTAAATCTCACTATATTTGTGAATGAGAAATTACCATATATGTGGTAAAAGTAACTAAACAATTATTTAAGACAATCATTGACTATATATTTGTGTTTATTCTACTATATTTTGCAAGTTCCACGAACTATAAAAATATGGTTGACGCCAAAATGAACTATAAAATATAGTGAGATTATAGTTAAATTCAACTATATTTTTCTATCAGTGCGAGAGTCCTCTTTCAGTACCGACGATAACATAATTTACATATTGTCGTGTATATTAGCACAAAAAGGATGATTAAAAAATTGGTCCGGTAAGAATAATTCATTTCCAACGTCCGAGGACTTTAGTCGACGTCGAAGGAACCAGGCCGCGATCAAGGAACAAACGCGATACCATCACGGACTGTGCGCATTAACCCTTTGTTGCACGTTTTCTTCTAATGAATATAATTTTGTGGAACTTGTTACTCGGGAGTTTTTAGGGTCGCTGAGTACAAATTCGGTGTGAAAAATACGACATTCAAAATGGCGTATCCAATATGGCAGACGAAATTCTCAAAATCAGCCAGATTCGCTTGAAATTTGTTATTTAAGGGTTTTCGAAGTTGCTAATTACAAATTCGTTATCGAAAGTTCGAAATGCCAGAGCTATGACGGATGTATACGACAAGGTTCGGTTGACATTAACATTTTCAAATTGAATTGTTTTACTTCTATGATTATGTTCGCCATATGAGACCCGTCATTTTGAATTTTTATTTTTCACACCGGATTCGCATTCAGAGACTTCAAAAACCCCCTAGTAACTAGTTTCAAGCGAATTCGGCTGATTTAAAAATTCCGTCCGCCATATTGGGTCCGCCATTTGGAATTTTGTATTTTTCACACCGGATTTGTATTCAGCGATCGCAAAAACCCCCAGATAATGACTTTGAAGGGTACGTTATTACTTAAAATTTCATGTAAACGAATTTATTCTCTAAAAACGACAATTTTGCTCACAGTATATGCTTATTAATAACAAATTACTTATTTGAAATGACTCTAGAAGCTGATGTATTAGTTAGAGAAACATTTTAGTAGTCCAACAATACCAGATATGCTAAAGAGATATGTGAAAAATTTAAATTATTGGAGAAACAAGCCTGGATGATAGATGGCACTCTGGGAGGACCACTATGCAGCAAAGGGTTAAACAGGGCAAAGCGCACAAACTGGCCCTTCCTCCGCTCGGGAGATCGCTCTGATCGAATCGTGAGAACAATGATTGATAACTGCATCGCGCGGTGGTGTGAGATGCTAGCTTGCCACACGCGGTCGCCTCCGCGAAAGGGATGAACGCGCGTTGAAAGAAGGACATTTATTTGTTGAATTTGCTCAGCTCGCGCAAGGGTTGATGCGCAGGCTTAATCCTGATACCGTGTCTTGTGCCCGCAGAGCCCCGTGCCTTCCGGCGCGATCACCGACGGCAAGAACGGCCTGCCAGCCTCGGACGAGAACCTGAACCAGGAATGCTAGGTCACGAAAAGTCGGCCGATAGACCCGCTTTACTATACCATTTGCATATGATTAATCACGTTTACCTATCACCCCCTCCCCGAACCCCAACCCCCGGAGGACAAACGAGCGCGATCGAAAGAGCCAGAGAGGGAGAGAGAGAGAGAGAGAGAGAGAGAAAGAACGATATATACCGTTGAGACACACGGCGCACGGAATTCTCCTCGAAAAAAAAAAAGAGAAAGAGTACCGGAAAAAGAGAGAGGGAAAGAGAGAGAGAGAGAGAGAGAGAGAGAGAGAGAGAGAGAGAGAGATGGGGAAAGAGAGAAAGAGAGGGGAAGCAAGGAGCGTCGCGATCGATAAACGTACCGCGAATGACGAGATTTGCGCGACGGGCGAGCTCTTAGCTGACGAACGCAGCAATACGTTTTTATCGCAACTGATTTGTCGTCGAGTCGAAAAATGCGAGAAGGGGAGAACTCCGAGAAACTCCACCCTGCGTTTACAGCGACCCCGTTTCCGTTGCCCTTCGAGAGAGAAACGAGCGCGCGATTATTACGTTCATCGTGAGCCGCACGCATAAAAGACACCCTCGAACGCACGTGACGATATCCAAATCACGCGACACCGTCGAGAGGAGTAACAAGAGGACTGAGAAAAATATTTCATTTTTTATCGATATACAACAGTAAAAAAAACAGAGAGAGAGAGAGAGAGAGAGAGAGAGAGAGAGAGAGAGGAACGCAGAAGAAGAAGGGTGAGGACAATGATTTGAGAGACGGCTTTCACGCGCGCATGAAAGTTCCTGATCTTTTTAAGCGATGACTTTCTTATCGGCAGCCGCGTTCCTCTGCGTCGTAGTTACTCCTTGCGATCATTCGAATCATTGCAATCGGCGTGCCCTCGCTCCGCGTGCACACTCGCATGTTGCCGACTTATCGATTTTTGATACGTATTTGTGCCATAATCCCGACGTCGTCGCGAGAGCCACGCTCGTCTACGCGACCCACACGCGCGTCCATTCAAGCGACTGCAAAACGCATCGCGCGTAGTGCGGCTTAATCGCTTAAGAGGTTCCAAGGATAACGAACGTGCTCGTCCCCGAGTCGCCGCGCTGTCGCGAACGACTGTTGCCTCGTAATTGCAATTTCGAGCCTTCTTTTGTCGTTCCGCGGAAGACGAACACACCTGCCGCGTTCATCGCTTCACTCACGGCGGTGAGTTTCACTCGACCAAGTATCGCTGACCGCGAGCACCCGGTTTCCTGGCGACGTCGACGCCATTCCACCGTTCGTTCAAGCGAGCGCACAGCTAGCGTTGTTAGTCCTTTCAATCACTCTCGCGTAGACGCATTCGCGACAAATTCTGACGAGGATACGCCACCACCACCACCACAATACACACCCGTGCGTCGTTGTAGCGTGTGAGAGAGAGAGAGAGAGAGAGAGAGAGAGAGAGAGAGAGAGAGAGAGAGAGAGAAAAAGCACGTCCTCTTCAGGGGAGAAGGAATAGACGTTAGAAGCGCTCGTATATTAATTTCCGTGCGAGGAGGTCTCGACACCCGACAGTCCCAAATGTCGTGCGGCACGTTGCGCATTTCGTCGGCGCGATTTCCGCGTCGTCGTCTCGACCGACCGTTCCGGGGGGTGGCGAGCGGAGCGCGAGCATAAACACCGAGGAGGACCGCACTCACGGTGGAACGACGGTGCGTTAGTTACCTGTTCGCGTATTCGTAGTCTTCGTTCGACGTGGTCCGTCCGATGCGATCGCGAGTGCGAGTCGGAGGTTCCGGAGGAGGAAAGCCGAGCGACTGCTCGGGGAACGAGAGCCGAGATCGACGTGGACGGTTTCAGGCAGCCGCCTCGGTTGCGCCAGCATCGATCATAGTCGCGGAGGGGAAGCTTGCTCTTGTGCTCTCTGTCTGCATTACGAATATAGAGAAAGAGAGAAAAAGAGAGAGAGAGAGAGGAGAGAGAGTCGCGAGAGTGAGTGTCGTCATCGACACGGCGATCACATCGGTGCGCAATGGGACAACGGGGAGTTTCGGAGACGAGACGAGAGAGAGAGAGAGAGAGAGATGCGCCAGAGGTGACCGCACTCGCGTTGACTTGAGATTGAGCTTAGGCACGACAAGGTGTAGGTACTTGCGAGGTATTCGTGTAAACGTGTTTCACTGTAGATACGTCGTAGACCGATCGCGCTGATAATCGCTCGTTGCCACGTGAAAACGCGCGGTAAAACGCGGCGAGAGTTCGTCGACGGGAAAGGAGGGATCGATAATGATGATGGTGATGATGATGATATGATGATGATGATGATGATGACGACGACAATGATGGTGATGATGAGGAAAGAGGAAGATGTTCGGATCGTGCGACCACGCCAAAAAGTAAAAAAAGAAAAAGAAGGAAGAGTCTCTCACTTACGTCACACTTACCTTAGGTACCTCGTGCAATTTACACGTCGCTAGAGAAAGATATGTAAACGACACATTATTTACACACTGTATTGCTTCCACAATGGATTATTAAGGATATACTTTTGATTCAACTTAACATTGCGATATCTCACGGAATACAGAATGATGAATAATTAACGTTAGACCCTCGTAATTGTCACACAAGTTACCACTTCGTACGAACGCAATAGTGTAACTACCATCCGGCGTATGTCCTCCCGAGGATCGCCGGACGGGCATTATAATAATATTTTTGTTTTTAAATTTACATTGGCTCCATTTTTTTATCTGCGAACACGCCCCAAGCGCATCCCCCTCCCCAGTTCCCTCGCCCCGAGGGAGAGACAATGGCGTCCTCTTTCCCCTCGTCACTGTGAAGACTCGCGATCGCTTCTTCACCCGAACTGTCATCCTTTTAAGAACAGTGTGCACATCCACGAGAGAAAAAGAAATACTAAGGAGTCGTCATTACGCGATCGGTAACATCCAGGAGCGAAATCTTACGACCCTTCAATTTAGCCCTTTGCCGCGAATAATTCGTAATTCCGCGCGCAACGAGGGAGATTCTCGCGAAAGATGGGCGAATTAAAGGGCGACTATTGATAAACAGAGATTACGTCCTTGCAAAATCGCGCGCAATCGGATCCTCTAATTGGACTGAAGATTCATTAGAGCGAATTTCCCGTCCCCTCTGCACATTCGGCCTAATGAATTCAGTCATAATAACCGCAGCTCGAGCCCGAAGATTGGGGATCCAGTTTTGCAAGAGTAAAAACCTGTCAGAGTGCCTTTAAATTCGACCGCTTCGTGCAAGACTTATATCACGCATACAACGAGACCCGACATCAACGTAGCCACAGTCCTGATACCAATCCCCGCTGCAGTTTGGCACGAACGGTACCGGCGAACACGAATCACCCGTCAGCCCTCCTCTTCCTTAACGATGTCTCTACTAGACGTAATTAGACAAAACTCGCCACCTTAAGGATAATACGCACCGCGTGTGCAACTCACTCTCACGTGCAATTCTCACGTCGGTCCCCAATAAAGCATCGCCACCATTCACCACCGCCTGCCGAGTCAAGGTCAGTCTCAGCACACGCTATGTAATTCAACGTGATAATAACAGCGTCGTAACAACGGGGTGCATCGAGTGCGCGCTGATCGGGGTCGGTGAGCAGTACTAGATGCGCCCCAGCCGCATACACGTACACATGATCGTTGCGTCAAGTACATAATCGAAGTGAACTGTCACCGCGATTCCAGGCTGAGACGCCGTTGGAGGACAACCGTCAGCCGCCGAGCGACTCGAAGAGCAACGCCACCGAGATACCGCAGCCTCAGCCGCCACCGTCGACGCCAACGCGCGCCCGCAACGTCGCGTCACCCTCGTCCACCGTCGTGACGCCCCGGGCGGTGAGGAACGGTTTGGCCAAGTCTCCGGATGCCACGACACCCAGGAGGCAGCTCGCGCATGAGACGGACGGACGCGCGTCGAAAACACCGTCGCCGGACGCGACGGAGGGTGGAATCGCAGCGAAGGGCCGATCGCCGAGGTCGCCGCGCCCACCCAGCAGCCTGCGCGTCAAGTCCGCCACCGAGAGATCCTCACCCGCCACACCTCGCGCGTCCCCTAACACGCCCCCCAAAACATCCCCCGGCACACCGAGGAAAGCGTCCGCCAGGGAGCTGCGTCTTCCGAAGCTCGCGTCGTCGCCGGCACCGCCGCAGGAAGCAAGTCCGGCACCCGACAGCCATTCAAAGATCACCTTGCCCAAGCTGATCGAGCCGTCTTCGCAGGCCGCCCGGATGGCGTATTGAGAGTCCGAGAACGGTCTTTGTAGCGTTTAGCGCGCGCCTAGGCGCTTCCGCTCGCCTTACTTCCGCGCGCGCTTTCTCTCGTATCCGCGGCTCCTCCGCTTGCTTTCGCAGTAGATCGTTCCGTCTATCGGCGAACGTTTCTTCGGATTTGTTTCCGTCCTGGTGATTTTTCGTGCCACTTGCGTAATCTCACGCTGTGCTGTGCTTTCCCGAAGAGTTATCACACGGAAATAATAGCCCGAGGTGCATAGGGAAAGATTTTTTTTGTTCTAAATATTAGTACTCGATAGTTAATGATTATACGTGAGGAAAATTATTAACTCTCGAATACTAATATTTAAAAAAAAAAAAATTCTCTAATATTCGAAAAATATTAGTATTAGAAAAATTTTCCTCGTGTATAATTGTTCCGAGGGGAGGGAGGAACTGTTACTCCGAAGAATCGGTAAACATCTAATTTTCTCAATTTTCTATAAGTAGAGAGATTCGGTGTTTCGATACTTTTTCCAAAGGAATATCTACTCGAAATTTACGCACAGGAGCTCACATACGGAAGAGAGCGCGAGACATGAAGCACCTTGTATAGTCGGCGGCTGAAGCATAGCAACGCGTTTTCTTCGGTGTGTTTTGAGACAGACGGAAATCGCCGGAGCCCCATCAGACGATTTTCACCTGTTTTGAATCTCGTTAAATTGTCAAAGTGTCGCAACCTTCACGCCGTCGATTATGCATCTCACAAAGAACACGCAGAATTAGTAATAACTTAGAAGGAACAAGGCTAGAAAATTATAACAAATCGCACATTTTACAACAGATATCTTCCTTCTATTAATGTGCAGTTACGAGTAGAGTTGAGCGATGACCGATCGATGAATCGACTTTTCTTCTGTCAAAAGATCAACTACCCTTCCAGTGTTCTTTTCCAAGTTTTTCTTTTCAATTAATTTCTACGTGGAGACAACGTTTCAGATTAGATATTACTTTTTAACAGTATGATCCATCGCTGAGTTGAGAGAAATGTTTCTTGCTGTTAAATAGAGACAAAAGCTAAATCTTTCTCCACACCACATGTTCCTAGCTCCAAGTGGAGATAAACTTTTTTATTGTAAAAATAATCTCTCTGTCATGAAGTAAGAATAATTCGATTTGAAAATAAGTTGAAGAACCGAGACGAAACGGAATAGGGGCTTGATCCTTTCTCGCAAGTCCTACTTTTCCAACCAAATCATGTAATTTCCAACCCCGTGTCTTCCTCTGTGTGGAAGATTGACTTTTAACGGGCGTCGGAAACAAGAGCGTCGTTCGGCATCAATTGACGTTAGCAAATTATTAACAATATTAATTCGATGTTATGAATTAAGTTGCAATATTCTAAACTCCGTCCTTCCTAGCTGTCTTATATAACAAAATTGGTCGAAACTAGATTTTTTACAAGGCGTTTCTAACAACTCGCATCACTTAACGCCGGAGAGCAGCATTTTCAAAAATAAATTTAAGATATATATGATATACTTGAAACGCGATACCACGGGCGCACGTTCGTGCGTCAGAGTAGTAAAAAGAGTGACAATTTGAGAAAGGATATGGGAGATAATATGAGAAATTGCGAATAACATACGCAAGATATATAGAAGTAAAAATATATAATGTATTTAGACATGTATATTCAGATAATATAACGTTGTAGTATAAATGAACACACTTTCATTAGTCCAGTGTTAGGAGCTCTTTCTGGAAATATGTTACGCAAAATCAAGTTTTATATAAAAACCTATGAAAAATATATATATGTATATATATATATATGTGTGTATATATACATATATATATATATATATATATATATATATATACCGGTCAGCCATAAATCTACGGTCAGTTTTTCTTTGGCAGTGGTGGTGGAACTAATTTAACTCCCTTAAAGTAAGGATGAGTTAATCCTTTCTTTGCGGTTATCCTCTGGTTGGGATCATACGTCAGCAGTTTCTACGAACAAAAGAAGAAAAACTCATAAACACACGTCATGAATCCCTGCGTCACAGCGAAGAAGTACACTAATAGCTATTTGTTGTGTTTCCGTTCCTTTCTATCTTGTTCCTTACCGAGAGTAAATCTTTGGCGTCGTCGTCGAAGGACGGTAAAACGTTGCCTACTTCGGTCCCTTCCCATTTCGGAAATCTCGAGGTGTAATCGGACAGTTGCGAGACTCCCGGCCAGATCGTTTCATCCGGTGTGCCGAGTATACGGAATATCCTAAACAACTGGTCTATCTCGGAGTCGCCGGGGAACAGGGCTCTCCTGGTAGCCTACAAGGAAAGATAGCATGTCCTAAGAAGTTTACCTTTGACAACAGTTTTGATAACAGTTCGAGATAACAGCTCGAGTGAATATTTGTACCTCACAGAAACCCCGACATTTCGCGATCCCGCGACAGATTCGCGGGACGGGACGCTTTTCGCATGATTCACGTACCATTTCCGCGAATATGCAGCCGAGACTCCATATGTCCAACGCGCAGGTGTACAATTTGGTCCCTAGAAGTACTTCTGGCGCACGATACCAAAGCGTTACAACCTCGTGCGTATATGTGCGCACGGGTACACCGATCATCCTGGCTAAGCCGAAATCGGCCAGCTTGATGTGGCCTTCGCGGTCTATCAAGAGATTTTGCGGTTTTAAGTCTCTATGCAATATACAACGGAGGTGGCAGAAGGCGATCGCCTTCAGCAACTGGTGGAGGTAACTCTGCAACAGTGAGAAGCGTCTCATCTTAAGTCACGGGCACTTTTAGTTACCGCACGGGATGTAACCGTGATCTTGTGATACCTTCACGAGCGCCTCGTCCAAGCCTCCTTTAACGGAGTCGAGCAACTTTTTGAGATCCTGCTGCAGAAATTCAAACACAAGATAGAGATGCTTGTCACCGTCTACGACGTCGTACAATTGTATGATGTTCGGATGAGCGAGGTCTTTCAATAAGGATATCTCTCGGATGGCGGTGGAAGGGACGCCTTCCCTCTCCCTGATTCAAAGCAATGTTATTATTTAAAGAAGGATGCGCATATCGTGCGCGGTATTAAATAACATCTCCTCGTACTCCGTGTGTAGAAGAGATTCGTCTTCTCCTGTTCGAGAACTTGACCAATTCTCAAATTATCGAGAGAAAAATTGTTCGTTTACAAAAGTTCCTCACAAACATGTGCACATGGATGACAAAATACTCAAAACATCGAGATCACATCAATGAAGGACAAGTATGCAAGCAACTCTGTTAATTCCTGTATGTACCCGAGGAGAGATGTTACGTCTCTGGTGAAGGAGAAAAAAAAAACGAGGATCGCAATTGGTACGGATTGCGATAGACGGTAGACGGTAGACGCTAGAGTTCGTTCTTATCCCAAAAATAATCCTGACGAATCCAGTCTTATTAAAAAACGAATAATATCACACAGTGTATTAAATAAAACAAAAATACCAAATAAAAAACCAGGCGAGCATGGCATAATGGGACAAGCTGAATAATGTGGTGCTACGAAAATTAGTGTAACGTGGCCCCCGCAGATTCAGCTGACCCCAATATGCGGGTTGTTAGCAGTGTGTTAGCAGTGTGCACAAGCAAAAGCCCAGCTGACATTGCAGTTCTGCAAACTGATAATTTTCAACATATACATGTGGGTAAAGGCCGAATTCAGTTTTGTAGGATCAGTTAAGAGCGCATATGACTTATATATTATTATCCAGATATATTCAGACATCTAGTTGCTAATGAACTTATAAGGGTGCATTCCTCACGATATCAAGAACGTCTCGGTTTCAGCACGATTGATAGCCCGTAGAAAAGAGCACAGTGATTAAAAAAAACAAGTCTGTTTTTAAGTCAGCAAATATAACTTCCCATGGTGGTATCGCAAGTACTCTTGTGCTTACAATTTTCTCAGTAGGTGTTTTTATATACATACTACTCGTAAGTAGAGAATGTAAAATAGAATATTTTACAGAGCTGTCATTCGTATCAAGCATCAAACAAAATAGAAATTAATGATGTAGCTGTGGAACCCAGTTTCCACGCTAGATTAATAAAAGCTTGATGATCGTATGTTATATGGGTCTGCGTGTAAATAAATCAAAGAACGTTGTAAAAAGAAATCTGTACTTTCCTCCAAGAAGCAATTAGTCGAATTAAAGGAGTTAGTAATATTATTGTAATCATTCATTGTGATTAAAGAGGAAAGAGTATTCTTTTGTATGTTTATGTCTAACTCATCTTTATGACTCAATACGACCAATGACGGGAAACTCAAGGATGCCACATAACAAACTTCTTGAAACACAAGTATAATTAACTGAACGATAATTCCCTGTCTGTTTACTTGTTTACATCATTCTCCACATCCAGACATAAATACTGATCAAGTCAAGTCAAAGTATCCAACATTTGCTCAAATAGTTCCATCAAGATGTATTCTGCACAGATACTCGTGGGTGAGAAACACCCGACTTGAACTATCGCATGAAAACAATTTCCACCTACGTTCAGAATGACCCAGGTATGTACACGATCAAAGTAACGTCCAACGTTAGGCGTGACTCACTGGCGAATAACGAATAATATCATGTTTTAGTGCGCACTTGTACATGTAAATTGGCGTGTGCGAAATATACACGCCGCTGCTGCATTTCTCGCGACGGGTGTGCGCATGTAAATATTCAAGTACACGCCAAGTGAACGCTTATTACACAATACACCAACAAACACACACGTCGTTATTCGCCCAACGCTAGAGTGGCACTCCTAACGTCAAGGAAGCGCGCAAGATGACAGGTGCGATGACAATCTCGCGATATTACGTACGTCTCTAGGCGAATCTTCTTCAGTGCCACCAGCTTGCCGGTCAGCTTGTCCTTGGCCTTGTACACCACCCCGTAAGTCCCCTCTCCAATCTTTTCGATCTTGACAAAGTTATCCATAACCTCAACGGTATACTCGCCGTTAACCCGTGGACGTTGTCTCTCGGCCGCCGCCGCCACCGCTGTCGCGCCTTCCCTTGCCGGCTCCGTGATCGACGCCGTCCTTGTTGCCAAATAAAGACGCGAGGACGATATTCTGTCCGCACAGCGTTACATAGACGACGATAACCAGCCACCCTCGACGATGCCGTAACAGCAAACTTGTTTATCAACACCGACGCACTACGATTGTCGGCGGGCCGCGATGCGCCGTAACGTGCCGCAGCGGCCTCTCTCTCTCTCTCTCTCTCTCTCCCTCTCCCTCTCTTTCTCTCTCGATACTGCCTCCAGGTGTCTAACGAGACGAAATCCCCAGCGCCATTGTTCGATGAATATAATTAGAAGTAGAGTTTGGTTAAATATCACTGTATGCCGCAGCGGCCATTTTTCTTTCTTTCTCTGTCTCTTTCTCTCTCTCTCTCCCTCCCTCTTCTGGTTCCAATTTTAGAACACGTACCGCCCGAGCAAGTACACCATCTTTTTTCCTTTTTTAGAGGGGATAAAAAGAATCGATAGTGCGAATCGATGAGCGCCGCTTGCGAGATCGATCGTTGTTACGCGCGGGATATTACGTAACGAGCGGGTAAATGAACTCCGCCCCGGTGAAGGATGTGTCATAAGTGTATTCTTATCGAGCGTTCATCGACTCGATCGATTATGGAAAAACAAATGATCGCGGAAATTTTTATCACACGCTTGGCGGCATTTCTGCTGACGCATCAAAGCTGAGCCTCTGCTAAGATACATTGCGACGTCGAATGAGACTGATTCATTTATATCACAATCGCTATGCGTGAAGAGCTCTGACGGTTGACTTGGATAGATTCGATCGCTTTGTCTGCTCGACACACACATTTTATCGAAGTCCCTACGATTATATAATTGAATCTTCTTTTCATCTTTTTCTGAACTCTGCGCCCCTGCATATTTGAGACTCTACTTCCAGTTAGATTTTATATTTAAAATCATTTCCAGTTCATTTTCGGATGCTGTGTTCGGATCGTTTTATTAGTTGCGAAGCGTCTGAAGACAAACTTGAGCGATCTCAAGTGGAAGATCCAATTGTGAAAGTGCCACTCTATCTTTCGTAGGATCGTACGAATACGAATGCGCGAGGTTGAATGCTCGCGAGATTCGATTTATCTCGAAGTGCAATAAGATAAGGCGCGTGATCCCCCCTCGAGTTCCCGCGCATCACCGCGCAAAGGATACATGCAGGATCAATGCAATTTGTGACGTGCGTCAGGGCATAAATCGAGTATAATTCGTACATCATCCGTGACAACGTCTACATGACTCCCACCACCTAGGATTGTCGATATTTAAATCCTCGCGCACGCATCAGGTTTTGATTTCGAAGCATCCGTCTCACACACATATTACATGAATGATACACATAGTATGATCGCGCGACTAATTTCGACCGGCTACGCTCCGATTGCGGAAAAGCGCAAATCGCTCTGTGATATGTAGCCTCGATTCGTCGAAGTCGTCTCGATTGTTCGCAGCTCCTCAGGGATGTATACATTAGTGGTTTAGGGCTAATTACGAATATACTGATTACGGTACGTATTTAGGTAAAAATATCTATAGGAATTACGCTACCGTATATATCTCGCGTGTACGCTGCGCGCGCGACACGAGCCCTATTCCGTACATACAAAATATATGCACGTTTCTACCGAAGCTAGGCGGAGGTGCGTAAAAATATCGGAATGTCGGCGAGATCTCGTTCGTTACGCTCGTCGGAAGATACGTTCGCTAGTTACTCGACTAACAACCGTCGCGAATCACCGCCGTAATCGCGAGAATTTCTTCAGAGAGAATCAAACACTCCTTCAAATATTGAAAGAATCTTCACGCGCGCATCTCACGATACGTCAAACTATATAATTTCATCGTCCAATAACGAATTCCGCGCGAATCTCGTTCTTATGCGTTTAATTCTTACGTCACAATTGTCAAGCTCTAATTGATCTTACCGGAGCGCGTAGCAACGAGTTCGATTCGTTATTGAACTGCGAGAAGACGACTATATTTCAATAGCCTCTCTTTGATATGAAACTTCGCATAAAAAACAAAAAAGGCAGAAAAGGAAACAAAGTTAACGACATTAACAAAATCAACAGCGATAATCACATCTCATCTACGTCTCACGTCGATAGGATTGGATAGAAAATATGCTATATTTTCTAATGTCTAGAACGGGCACGAGATGTAAACGTACAATATTTTCATGCACATTGAATTCATGTTCCTCGTAGAGACACAATTTTGTTATATCGCACGAGAAAGACCTGGCAGGATATTACTTCGCGAGAGATTAATCTTTCGATGATTAATTCTTCTCTTTGATTAAAATGCAATCTTCATCATTTTTAAACTTATGTGATTATAACTCAAGTTATAAGCCAGCAAAGTGGCTCGGATATATTCATTTATGACTGCGAAAAATTAAAAATCACCAAGAACCCATTGAGAATCCTACATTATGCAAGGAAGTGAGACTTGCAAAGTTCATCGATAACTTCCTACCAGGTCTCTTAGGACATCTTACAATCGGCTTATTATTTGTAAATTTTATAGTACACAATCAGAGTTTGCCTCAAGCAAAGCACTCGTACTGAATATTATTTGGTGCATGAAATTTGAAATATGGTAAATTTTATATTATCACGGATGGCATTACCATACACAATAAGATTTAATATATATGTTTACTTATATTTTATGTAGTTTCGTAATATTTTTCTCGCATAGTACCTATATAATAAGCAAACACAAATAAAAACAAATATTAAAACGTAAATGTAATTATAAATCTGTAACGGCTATCAAGAAGATACAAGTCAAGCTTCATCCAAGTTTCGAAAATGAGTGTAGGAATACACTAGAGTCCCCTTTGATTATTTTGATTACAACTTCTCGTATAAAAACAAATGCGTATTTAGCGCTATAGAAAATTTGAAACGTATAAAGTAATCAATACGATATCCTCGGATACATAAAAATACTATAAAGTCATCCAAAAGATACTCAAAGACAATACGACACGATGTGTTTTGTTCGGGAAGATATAAATTTCTAGATATTATATCATTGAATAGTTACGTATATGTGTAGTAATGATAATGTTATTCATACAAGAAAAATATGATCACGAACACGATCATCGATGTTATCATCTACGATGTTACCATGGTAAACTATACTCTTCCATAAAAAAATATTAAAAGGAAATTTAATTTGCACATTTTTCTCACTCCATTTATACCGTCGTCTCATGATTAGATCATGTGTGATGTGTCCGGATTGTCGAACTAAACAGTATAATTGTGTCGTTATATTAAATTGTCATTTCCATTTCTATTGACGTATCATTGGAAGCAAAATGATGAAGAAACTTAATAGAGATATACTTACGTGGTTTTGTTTTCTTCGTTTCTAGACTACAAGGCGCATTGAGGCTTAGTATGAGTGTTCTAAGTGTATGACTAGAGCACACATTTCAGTTATTATTTGTCTAACTCGATCTAAAATCTACAATTGCCCGATCGAAAAAAAAAAAAAAAAAAAGGAAATATTAATTTCTATCTCTGTTGAGCATTACGCGTGTACAACGTTGCAGCACATTAGAGAACTTAAATTTCAGCCTTTAAGGAATGACATGACGAGACATAATACATTCGGGCAATCGAAAATGATCTTGATAAAATGGCGATGACATCTTTATCCTTCTGAGACTCGATAAGAGTATCACGTCAACTGCACGGGAAGAAAAGAAAGATTAAATATTTTGTTGCGATTGCATCACCGCATCAGTACAAATAATCATGCTGCGGGAAAATGGCTCTTGCAGCCCTTTCTTTCGGATCTAATTGATTTCGATAACGTCTCGCCAAGAAAGCTGCAATCACCTGGAAATATTTAAATTTTAATTTCTAAATGTGATTTTCTCTAAATCTGAAGAAAAAGTTTGTAAGATATATATGTACCCCGAGGAAAAAAAACATCATATTATCAGGTATTATCAAGATCCTTATCACACAAACTGCAGCGCGTTATATTACATGTAATCTACAGATTCCTCAGAACATTGTGAATGAATATTAGCGTATGGATATCTGAACAACGAATGCTACAATGCCGAGAAAAAAATCAAAAGACCACAACCAGAATTGTGCAAGCACCCACCATCTGTTAGGAGGATCATAAGTGACAGAGGACATGGCGATGGTGTTAGACTAGAGGAAAGCACTAGGATTAGCTCGTGGATCTTTCTGGTTCCTGTAGCGCACGGTCAACCATACACCAACAAACTGTAATCGGGCACACATGTTAGCATCAGCAATATGAGAGCACTTTCATTGTGCTATGGTCAGTGTGCATGTATAATATATATTGCATTTATAGCTCGACAAAACTCCTAAATAAAAAAAAAAAATATATATATATATATATACATAAGTAATCAAATGTAATCTCTTACATTCTGCAAAAAGAGTATATTCTTCATTATCTCAAAAATATTTACAATTTGAGTATGTACAAATTAAGTGTAAATTGTGCAATATGTGTAGGTGAGGAATGATGTAACATTATTTACAGAATCTTACCTCTGTAAAGCTGAAGAATAATCCTATACTGCCACACAACTTGAAAGCGTAATCAATGGTAGATTGCAGTTTGTGCATACACGTGGGACACGGTGAACAAGACGTTGGATCAACATCGGCTGTTGGACAACAAATTTTCTGCAAGAGATACCAACAGTTAGATTGTGAAACACATATGATATTTATTGCTACTACGTACATTGACTTCATCGCAAGATACTGGATTAAGTACTGCTGAAGTACTGTTGAATCCGCAACAATTAAAAGTGTTTTGGACTTTGGTCTTTAAGTCATTGTCGACATGTAGCCAACCCTGAAAATACATTGTCACATTATATCCGCTGTGAATCAAATAAATGTTAATACAATTGCAATTCTGTTTCAGTGTAAAACATACCTGCTCTGCAAGCTGTTCCTGCTGTTTAGTGTTGACAGCTAGACAAGCACAAGCAATGCTGAATTGAATGAGGAACAAAAGGAATAAGATAAGCATGTACTATGACACAATTAAGGAATTATACGCTCATTTCTTTATTCTTTATAATATTCTATATTATATTAATCAATGAAGTATTTCGTGTATGAAATATACATTTATAATGAGAAGAAAAATAAAAATACTCGACAAGTTTGATACTTGCTTGAAAATAAGATAAATATTGAACAAAGTTGTTTCTTTACCACAGATGCAAATGTATCAATATAGCTGTAAAGATAAGCCAAATTGAGACATTAATTCTTGCTTTCCAAGCTTAATTGAGATCCGACTGCAAACAGGAAAGGATACAAAGAACAGTAAAACCTGATGGTGTTTAACAGCACCAATCAGGCCCAATATGGAAATAAGAATCAGGATCACTCCGCATGCTAGAATACCGCCGATAATAGGGAGATTTGTAACTAAGGCCGACGCTTTCCCATATACAGCAACTCCTATTAGTATAAAGGCAACAACCTGCAAGGAAAATAATTATTGGTGACGTGAGATACATGTGTACACTTATTACTGACATGTATATGTAACGTGGTGCGAAACCAGCACATTTTGTATTACAATCATGAAATAATCTTAGGAGACAAAGACGATACATTAGACTTGCCCACACATAATCTGAATACCAATCACCAGCTGCAGCTTACAGTTCCCACTCGTGATAACTAATCACTCTTGCAAATACACAAGTGTTCAAGAAAAGAATAACAAATTCGACAGAAGACACCGTTTCTCGGTTACCGTGGAGCGTTCGCAGTAGCTCCTAATGCAATTATCTAATGATCAATGTGACAGCAACGTCAGCGAGCGCACTAACACGTTTAAGTTAATAATCCCTGCTTTTCGTGTGTATCGCGTACGTACGTGGTCAAAGTTAAGCGTATGTAATCCAAGGTGAGAGGAGGAGGGCGACTAATCAGTCAATATGTACTCAAAATTGGTTAAACATTGATGTAACTGCGCTACGCGTAGATACCTCCCCCAGGTTCGTGTCAACATCCAACGAGACGGAGAAACGAGAACGAGATGGCGAGGAGGAGGAGGAGGAGGAGGAGAAGGAGGAAGAGGAGGAGGAGAGCCGCGGACCTCCCGGGCCAAAAGTCGACGCGACAACGTCCACTTACGATATAAAGAATGTTGAGCGCTGTCAGAGCATTTTTCGAGCAGGTAAAGCCGCCGCACATCTTCGGCTGCGCTCGTCTGTCCTCTGCCCTCGTCGAATCTCTGGAGGTCGGAAACTCCCGTCGCGACGACTCGCGCGCGCGACGCAACGCGTGAAAAGCACCGAGAGGTTTTGATCGGGCGAAGAGAGGAGACGCGAGCGGTCGATGCGTGGGTCACAGCAGGAATCGCGGGCTCTTTCTCACACAAATACACACAAACCTTCTACCTAGCCGACGTCCCCGCAACGGCAGACGGCTCGCTACTGCCCGAAGCAGCGCGATGGCGGCGATCGATGCGCTTGAAAGATTGCGACTATCGCGCGCGAAACACAAACTCGCACGTACGCGCCACGTGCGGCGTGCACGCCCGAGAAAATCGAAGAATGAAGATTGTTGTTGCGTGACAGCTGAGGTAAATGTCGATGCTGCATACGCGCGCGCGAATCTGTGGATTAATGTAAAGCAAAGTCAAATGAGAGAGAATCATTCTTCTGTATCTGTAATATTTGTGATGTAAAACGTCCGATCGCGACTACAAAACGCTTGCCGAAGCGTCTGAGGCGTCGTGTGAGATAGCAACGAGCAAACTATAGCGATAACTTTGAGCAGAGAGCAAAGGTCAAGTAAAAATGGTCGTTCGTTTAATGAACAATGTCGTTGGTATTTACGCAGATCGCCGCAATAGCTCTCTGACACGTGAAGCTATTAAAATTTCCCATAAGAAATTTATCACGCATACTGGAAGAGCGCCAACTTCAGCGCGTTAAGGCTGTTTCACCCGGCCTGTGTATACACGCGAGATACACGATAGTGTTATCAATTTATTTTTACCGAACGTACCGAACGTTGATTACCCGCTTCCCTTCGTTCTCGTTCGTTGGGAAAGCCTAGCAGCAGAGAATAGAAGCCGATGAAATATTTTGTCCCGTCTCTCGAAGAGAACCTCGCCGGCAACCGGCGACAAAATATCCGCATTCGTTTCTCACGCGAATGCACGTATCTCGCTCGCGGAGTCGCTCGGTGAGTCGTAAATGTGTCACGTCGAATCCCTCACGGATTAAATGTAATGGCGTGAGCGCTTGGCCCAGATAACGCGTAAACATTTTCTGTTCATTCGAATGCAGTTTCCTACCTACCTACTACCATACCCGGCCGTTTGCATTCTGCATCTTTCGCATTCCATTAAAAAAAAAACGCTCTAGCTTTATCCGCTTTGTACGCCGCGAGCGCGATGAAAACAGCATTACGCGTACGCGATAAAGTAGCGTGATCTCGTTTCTCCTAACGAGAACGCCGCGAAAAGAGCCAACTCTCCCGATTCATATTCAATTGCGAGAGAAGCTGGTAGGTAAATAATAATATACACGATCCTTTGGCTGCTTCTTTCGCAATTCCGGGGAATTACGCGCAATCGATCTGTGTGTAATAAATATGTTGATTTTAATAGCCGCAGCAACAACCAATTAATCGGTTGTAAATAGCCGCAGCAACGGCCAATTAATCGGTCGTAAATAAATAAAATTTAATGCCCTTATCAGACGCACTGATCGCGCATGCAGACGCAATTATATATTCATCACTTTCATTCACACGTCGATACATATTATCGATTTATTGTTGTTACAATTGCCGTTGTATAATTTAAGCTGTAATACGCGTATCTCTCCTCTGACTCGGCATTCGCGTGTGAAGTTTGAAGGTGCCGTTGAAGACGAGGCTTTTCCACTTAACGGCATCTACGCAGCGAAACGTCCGCTGTGTTTTCCGAGGATTTACACACACAGCCGTTAACGTATTACATGCGTTTTTGAAAATCGGTAGCGCGCTGCACGAATGCATGCTAAGTGCATGCGAATGTATTTGCAGCGGCAGATAATGCCCCAAGGCGCGATAACTGTTGCCGTGTACACACATCTGACTCGAAGGTGGCCGGGGAAAAATCCCGCGGAGGAAGAGAGAGTTTACAAACAATGATTATCAAAAATACGCTGCCGCGCGAGCCGCTCGGAAAGCGCGGCATATATTTTACGCGCTCACCATGCGCGATTATAATAACAGTCCCTTTGCGCGATAATAAGCAGGCGATGATCGCGAACCGATGTCTAATAACCTCAGGCGATACCAGTCGCCTGGTGGATGATCGTTGCAGCTGCGCAGGTTTCCTGAGGGGGGGAAGAGAGGCCGAGGCTGTGAAAGGGGAAGATCAAAGGGACGAGATGGAATATAAATACAAGCATAAATATTGCGGCGTTTCATGAATCCGATGATGTCTGCTGCTTCAATTAATATCCAGGAGTCTTTATTTAAGAGATACCTTATACTCTTCTCTCGCTTAAATGGAATGTAAATGACAGCTTAATGAGCGCGCGTTGAAAGAGTGAATAATTATACTCTTTTTATTCCTCGATTAATGTCCATCGCGGCCGGCATAATTTATGGCACGAACGTTGTTTACCGGCGGGACCGTTACATCATGGCTGTGGATGTTGTAAAATGATTAATTACTAATACGTATATAATATCTGCGTGTTTGTCGCCGTTAATCAGCGGCGTGTGACGAGAAGGTAGCGCTATTTGCGAATTAATTCCGAGAATATATGTATATTCCGCGCTAGATTGTCTTTAAATTGATTTAAAAATATCAATATTATCCGTAGCACAATGAAGCCATGTGTGATGTTTGTTTTCCCGATTTCATGGAATTCATCTCGTATTAACTCTCAATATTTGGCGGAATTAAGCGACATTAAGCGTTTGGATGGTATATCTGATCTCAACATGTCGTACAAATCGTCACAACGTTTGAAGTGGCTTACACAACGGTAAAATATCGATAATAATAAAAATCGGCGTCCCGCGACGAATGCGGCGAAAATTCTCTCGCACTCCCGACAATCCTCATCCTTGGAAGCCGTCCAACGCGCAAGAGTGTCGCATAATTTTTCGCGAGTAACGCAAAGTATCGCATGTCGGTATGTATACCGAGTGTTATATTTTGCGAATCCCGCGATCTTGCGAAGCGGAAGAAGGGAAGAAGCTGGTGCTTTCTGATACGATCAGAGTCAACCGTCGGAAGGTTTCTCGCGCGAGACTTGCCACCGAGCAGGTTCCAGGAAACACGAGCGGGCGAGCACCGCCGGAGATAAATAAACGCTCGTGAATTTTTCTCAACTCGCAAATGAATCCCGTGACTCTTTCGGTGTGTGTTTTGTCACTTCCACACATACAACTTCGGCGCGTGTGTACGTGTGTACGTTGATTGGACATGACGTAAGATCTGTTACCTTCTGCAGCGAAACACGCTCATTCGCTCAGACGCGGTGTGTACACACACATGTATGAATATCGTTTGATATTCATTCGTTCGCCCTTCTTCGGCTGAAACTAAAAGTAGTAGGCAAACATCTTCGTCGGGTGGGGGACAGATGACAGATTCGGCATTGATAAGGAAAGCGCTCTGATAAAGGAACGTATAAAATCAACGGCGCCATAAATAAGGCGTCGCTCCATGCGTAACTCGTCGAAATCCGGGCGCCGTTAAGTTCGTGCCGTGAAGACCCGTGCTTCCTGGTAGCATTAGAGTGTTTCATCGCTATCTCTGTAAGCATAACGTCGAATTAAAATGTAACGGACACTCGCACGCGAGAGACTTTCGCGAGGGCAAAACGAGCCCTTCGACTTGTCGCGCTCGCCCGCGCGGAGGCTGCGCCTCCGAACGAGCCGTTCGGTAGAAATTATGACGTTACGCAGATAACGTTGATAAATCCCTGGGCGCACTTCCGCAAACCCTGCAAACTTCCTCGTCAACTTGCACGCGTTGAAGCCTCGCCCAGCTCTCGACGTTGTCGCATATTTTAACGACGCTGTAATCGCGCATTGCATTCTCTTATTCTTTCTCAATAATGCATCTCTCTCTCTCTCTCGTTCTCTCAGTCCTGTAATAAGAAGAAATAAGAGATGGACCAGTCCCGTGTCAAACGACGGCCTCAATATTTAGCAGCGATCACGGGTAAGTGAAATTTAAGCTTAAAATCTTCATTTTGCGAGATGCACCATGACCAACAGACGGATCGAGTAAAGCGTGCGCGCTTCGCAACGGCGTGCCACTTTGAAGTGTCCCGCTGTGTGAATATTTACAATTTTAGCGATATGTACAGCAAGCGTCCCGGAATTACGCCACGCGGTGTATCGAGAGCCGAAGCGATCTCGTCTCTGTCTCTCGTTTTCGACAGATACCAGCCGCGCAGATAATGACGGCACGATAATCAGCGATTAGGAAGTGGGACGTTGCGCTCATATGAAGTATGCGCGAAAATCACTCGAAAGACTCGAAGACGTCCGACTCGAAGAAGTCCGAAATATCGGATCGGCCGGATCGGAAGGGTGGGGGAGGGGGGGGGGAGGTGTTTATCTCGCGGTTTATTGCTCCAGCGTCGCTTTTCCGCGTAAATATCGCGCGACGAGTAAATTGCTTCCGCGCCGCGAGAGAGCTTCGTATCCGCGCCGTTTCGGGCCGTAAATAATTAGCCCGACTGCTCATTTCTCATGCGGAACCTCGCATACAATTAATCCCCTGAAATGGCCCCTGCTCGCGAGCCGCCGTGCTGCTTAGCGTATCTCATTCCGCTCGTAATCACGCGCAACTTCGGAATCCGACGGCGACGGCGAGAATACTCCGTCCTCCTGAGCTTGCCGGGAAGCTCAGCGAGCGGATGCGACGCAACGGACGTATCGGTCGAACGAACGACACGCCAACGTCACGCCGTTAGGCGACCCTCAATTAGTTTCAACAATGCACACACACACACACACACACACACACAGCCTCCCAGAGTGCGGGAGGATCGAGCGCTTATCTCAGCTCACTTCACCTACGAGCGCTCCGCTCCGAACATCTTTGACTCGACGATAGCAAGCAAGCGAGTCGAGGGAGAAAGAGAGACTGATTTTGGAAATTTGCAGCCACCATATCGCTGGCAATTACCGGGTCTCACATAGGCTGGACGTCACCCATCTTACCGATACTGAAATCGACCGAGTCCCACGTGCCGATAACGTCCGACGACGCCTCCTGGATCGCGTCGTTTTATCTGCTGGGCACCATACCCGGCTGCGTCCTAGCGGCTTTCATAGTCGATTGGCTCGGTCGGAAGACGAGCCTGCTGATAGCCGGCGTGCCATTGACCGTCGGCTGGTTGTTGATCGTCATCGCGTGGAATCCGTATGTCCTCTACACGTCGCGCTTTATCAGCGGCATCGGCCAGGGCGTCGTGTACGTCGTCTGTCCGATGTACATCGGCGAGATCGCCGATAAGGAGATCAGAGGCTCCCTCGGCTCCTTCATCAAGCTGATGGTGACGTTCGGGGAATTGTACGCCCACGCGGTCGGCCCGTTCGTCTCCTACGACTGCCTCGCTTACGTCTGCCTGCTCATCCCGTTGGCCTTCTTCCTGACCTTCGCGTGGATGCCCGAGTCGCCGTACTTCCTGCTAATGAGGAACCGCAACGAGTGCGCGATGGCGAGCCTGAGGACCCTGAAGCGCAACGCCTCCGAGGACCAGCTGGAGGAGGAGCTGGAACAGATGCAGAAGACGGTGATCCGCGACCTCAGCGATCAGGGTCGCTTCCGGGACCTCTTCAGCACGCCCGGCAACAGACGCGCCGTCATCATCAGCTTCGGCCTGCAGCTGATTCTCCAGTTTAGCGGCATATGCGCGATCGAGTCGTACACCCAAGAGATCCTCGAGGAAGGAGAGGCCGGTCTGCCGGCGAGCATCGCGGTCATCCTCCTGAGCTTGTTTCAGTTGGTCGCCGGTGTCGGTGCGGCGGTTCTGGTCGACAGGCTCGGCAGGCGACCGTTGCTCTTGAGCACCACGTTGTTGGGCGGGATCTCGTTGACCATCGCTGGCACCTTCTACCTGCTGAAAACCGAGCTGGCGATAGACACGGCCGGCTACGGCTGGATACTGCACGCCTCCGTCATATTCTACGAGCTGATCATCGCGCTCGGGCTGAACCCGCTACCCTACATGATGCTGGGCGAGCTGTTCCCGACCAACGTCAAGGGCGCAGCCGTGTCGTTGGCTAATCTGGTCTCCTCCTTGTTGGCTTTTATCGTTTCCAAGATGTATCAGGTGATCTCCGACTTTTGCGGGGTGTACGCGGCCTTCGGCTGGTTCGCCATCAGCTGCTTCCTCGGGGTGATCTTCATCGTCTTCGTCGTGCCGGAGACCAAGGGCAAGTCGCTGCTGGAGATTCAGGAGGAGCTCCATTGCAAGAAGAAGAGCAAGAGGACGGGGCAAGAGCAGAAGTTGAAGAACGAGCATATCCAAATAAGTACGATAGCTTAGGCCGGGCGAAAGTAACGCGTCGCGATGCTTGCGTTCACGTCGACGATTCACGCACGATACTTTTCGAATGATAGAAATTAGAAGCGACACGCGTATCTTGGATTACGGGACCTTCGGCAGGGAACTAACCTCAGGCCGGCTACGACCAGGGCCGATCGTAAAGAGGAGACCTCACGAGCAACGGTAAGATCAATTGTGATACTCGGATAAAGTCGGATTGATCCTTGACGCTGCGAGATTTCAATCTCGTTCCGTTGGAACGAAATTCCGCAATATTGCCGCTTTACTCGAATTGTTCGCGCGAGACAATTCGAGAGAGAGAAAGCATTTCCTGCCGAAAGTCGGCGACCAATTTACGCGCGCGCGCGCGTCAACGCGCGGAGGTAGATTTCGAAATTTGAGAGGAAATTCTGAGAATCTCTATACGTTGCTAGTTGCAAAGTCCTTTGCATTTCAATTAGGATCGATTAAAAAAGTCGCGGGAATATTCGTCCTCCTTCGTGTTTCGCTAGCGACGTGAAAACGCGAGATGAAACTGTGAAACTCCGAACGAGATCTAAATTTATCAAGTATTAGAATTCGAAGATTCGTTAGTTGCAAGGTTAGATCGTAAGGTTACTTAGCGCTTAAGGAAGGGCCCTTATATTCCATTTGAGAAGGCGCTTCGATCGAAGTAACGAGCTCGTCCAAAGAGCCAAATTTCCGATCGAGATAGCATCAGTGTCACGGCTAGGGGAAAGACTCGCACTCGAGATAAATTAAGATGCCGGGTACGAGCAAACTTTAGGCTCGGGCGCAAACAAGGCGCCCGTCACCTGTGCAAACGCACATCTTAATTAAAAACAAAAGAGAAAACGACGCGACGTCGTTTCGTGCTACGTAGAAGCAAGGGAGGAGGGATAGATAACGGTGTAAATTTAGCCGTCGCTGTTTGTCGACACACTCGTCGAGCGAGTTAGCGAATCAATCCTTTCATTCGCGAGGCGAAGGCACGAGTCATTCACACAGCGGCACAAGCCGTGCGCGCGCGCGAGTGCGAACGAGCGTAAAGATATCTTTGTCGCCCGATTACCGCCTCGCTCTCTGATTGCATCGATTCGGGAACGACGACGACGACGACGTTAACTCGATCGGGCAGAAGCTCATGGGCGAACTCGCGGCCGAGAACAATGCGAATTTACAGTGTGTCGGTGGTTTCCGGGAAAATTGTTCCAGGGAGGAACCACGTCCCACGGCGCGGAATCCATCGTACATCCAACGTGCGTTAGCTAGGGCACCGATCACGGTAGAGCAAACTCGCATGACCAGCTTTTTTCCCCTTTTAGGCAGGGTTAAATACGGAAGTTTCTGAGACTGATAGCTTTTAGTTAATCGTAAAGTATTTATTCATCGTCTTGGGCGAGTACCGAACAGGCGGCGAGGAAGGAAGAAGGAGACGACGAAGATTCGACATTGTCAGTCCGGTTGTCGTTTTTTTTTTTTCTTCTTCTTTTTTTTTCGAGGCGACTCTTGATACATTTCCCCGGGTCTTCGTCAACTCTGCTCTCTGGATTTCTCGGTGTGAAGTTCCGCTCGGCGAGCGAACATTCCTCCCGATGAAGTTTCCGGCGCGTCGGATCAGCCGCGAGCGATCGCAAGCCGCTGTTTACGAATTTGCACAATAATCGATTTCAACGGCGAAGCGAACGACAAAAATGTGAGCGGCGGCGAAACACTCGCTTTATTTGCGATCTCTCTCTCTCTCTCTCTCTCTCTCTCTCTCTCTCTCTATCTCTATCTATCTCTCTCTCTCTCTCTCTCTCTCTCTCTCTCTCTCTCGCAGCGAGACTCCACGCTGAGAAATCCGCGCGGAGAGCAGCGTCACCGCGGTTTCCGCAGCCCTCGGCGGAGGCAGGAGGAGAACGGCGATCCTGTTCGGTGCGGCGCCTCACGGCGATTAGAAACATCTTTCTTATCCCTTTCAGGCAGGGTGCAAAACAGTCGTCCAACATGATATAACGCTTACGATTAAACGTTATTGAAGAGTAGCGCGTGCGAGGCGCGTAGCTCACAGCGGCGGAGCTACCGCCGCACGCCTACAGCCCTGATGCAAGAAGGATTTAGACGAGCACTGTGGCATGACTACCTTATATTTCCCTTTCAGGCAGGGTGAGACACGATTAATACGATTTTATAAGAATAGCGGCGTAGAATATAACTGGCCCGAATTAGAGTTAAAGAAACCACGTGTTCACGTGCTAGAAACTTACCGGGGTGCCGGACAAGCGCTCTCGCAGCTGACACCTCGCCCCCGCGTTCCTTAATGGGCGCGCTCGCTCCTCCAAAATAATATCTCACGCGGGGAGATATTAATTTGGCGACGAGCTCTCCGCGTCGTTCACAAGGCGCTACGCTCGGCGAGCGAACAGCCGAAAGCGAGCGTGAAGCAGAAGAGCCGGAACGCCGTCGGTGACTCGGCCGACGTTATTGTGCGCAGCCAGGTTGTCGCGCGAGAGCGCATTATATTTTAATAAGCTACACCTTAACTCGAGTGTCAAGTATGTTCACGCTATTGCACGACTCTCTACATGTCCCTTTGAGGCAGGGTTTAAGACTAATCGAATTCGCACTTCGGCATATATCGAGATTTCTACAGTGTAGAAGTTTGCAATATACGTTGACAATAAAGACTCACCGTTTTGGAACCGTAACTATATACAACTCGACAGAGTGTCGACTTCTCCTCGCCGCATGTCCCTCCCTCCCCGGCCGCGACTCCTTCGCGGTGACTCGCGCTCCGCTCGCGGAGCTGTCAGGAGCGCTCCGGGAACTCGAGAGCCACTCCAGCACCTTGAACGCTAGAACTATCAGAGCGGTCGAGAGAGCGACTGGCTTGTGATAAACTTGTGGAAACTTATTAGACGGTGCGCGTTTCTCACGCCCGTCAGTCGACGTCGAGCGAAAACCAGCCAGAGGAAACGACCACCACTTTTCTGTCGTTCGTGAAAATGTCTCGTCAGTCGATGACTGATCCGACGGTAGTGACGGTAGACGGTAGACGGTAGTTCGCGGCGTTAGCGAATCAATGAAGACGAGAGACTCCGCAAACCGGACAACTAGTATGTATATTTTTTGCATTATAATAACCGTTATTACATAAACGTTATTACAATATAGAAACATAAATTTTTATAATATCTCATCCATTAACATCTCACAACGCCTCGCTATGGTACACACACCTCTCGTGGTCGAGATTATTATTACTACTACTGCTACAATCCCTGGCGTGAAATCTCGTCAGCGTGCCCGGAATACGTCATTCGCGTGACTCTCTCCTTGAATAAAACCCACGCGTGCCTCGCGTGCCACGCGAGCGACAAGACTTGCGAGACTAGCACGGGGCTTTTTATTCCGCTGACGTTCGCCGTCGCGTCGTCCGATGTTGCCGAAAACCGCGGCTGCGTTCGTTGGAGTGTATATTTTACAGCCGTATCCGTGGCGAAGCCTGCGTTCGACACGTATCGCCTTGAATATCGAACGAGGAACACATTCGTTCGTTTAATAGGAAAATCAGAGGATCGAACCTTGTGATGTTTGTTTTGCACACCTCAAGGTGCGCTCGAGAATTCAAGTCTGACGCCGTGGCTGTGAAAAGTCGACGTGAGATTGCCTCTCTTTTCTACGAAGAGTATGTAATTTTTATGGATAAAATAACTGAAATGCTTAATTTTTATACATGAAGTCTAAGAACAAAATCATTTGGTCCAGAGAACAAAGCGGCAAAATATATTTAGTTGAGACAACTAAATATTTTGTTATGTAAAACAAGATATTTGGTTGCCATTAAAAAATGCCTCGACTAAACTAAAGTTTTGTCAGAGATACTAAATTTTTTTTCCCAGCGAAACGGCGCATAACTCGGCCAGATCTAAACAAAACGAAATGCCCTGCAAAAATTCATATTTCTTCATTAAATATGTGTAAAATTCACTCCCTCTAAAACTTCAATTTAATCGGAGTTACAGTTTTGTAGAAAAAAATTCCTAAATTTACCTTATTTCTGGGCGCTCTAAACTGTAATGTCCCCTTGACTCGCACCTTAGAACTCATCGGCGCCCCGGGATGTTCTCCGCGACGGACGTATATTTCCGATGACACGGAACGCGACGATTACAGAATGAAGAAGGCAATATCGGACAATCTCGCGCGATCGGTGACAAGAGAACGATCCGTTTATTCCCGTTGAGAGAGCCGCCGCTCGTCGCTCGCGTAACGACGCCGCGTGCAACTCTTCACGAGGAAAATGTCCGTTTCTTCTCTCTCTCTCTCTCTCTCTCTCTCTCTCTCTCTCTCTCTCTCTCTTTCACACTCTCGTAAAAACACACACAAGCGATCGTACTCACACCGGCACTATGATTGTCGAAAGGAAACTGTAGCGCGCCGTCGTATACACGCACACTCGCGCAGCTTTGGCACACGCGTCTCGTACAATCCGATGCTTAAGTCCTAAGAGTGCAATGTTGTAACCTCGATAAAAGGAGCGCCGCCGTTTGAAAATGTCCGCGCGATGCCAAACGACTTCCCGACATTTCTCGGGCTTGCATCCGCGGTGGCATCGTAATGCCGTAGAAATGAAGACGCGACCAGCGCGGATATCTGTCTCCTCCCTCGTCATTATTCCGCTTAAATGTTCCCGCCGGTGACCGAACGTCACCCGATAACGCCCGTCGAACTCGACCCGCTCGCGGGACCTTTGCGGGGGCTTCCGGAAGCGGAAGCGCGCGCCCGAGGGGGTGCTAAAGCTACGTTTTGTTAGCTCGCTTATTCCGCGACGCGAGCTCGTCGCGTTAGGCCAAGTGATCTCGGAGCGTACGCGAGAAAGGACGCGAAAGGGACGAGGGCTTTCGTCGTAGTCGCCCGGAGAAAGACGCGCTGAAAGCGGATCGCCGCAGACTAGGACGCTAATAAACATCCCCTAGCTCGAGGGTGTCTAGAAGTTAGTAAATTACAGGTAGAAAAGGGAGATGGAATACAGGTAGAAAAGGGACTCGCGCGCGCGAGAGCACGGCCGACAATTTCTCTTTCTTTTTTCTCTCTCTCTCTCTCTCTCTCCTCTTGTGCGCCGAGAGGTTCGCGAGCGCGAGTCGATTAATTAACGATTTACGTTAAGAACGAACTTATCAGCGGAGTATAGCCGCAACGATTGTCTCGGAGCACGGTCGACGATCTCCAGCGTCGGTCTTACGCGAGAAGGAAGAAATTCGCCCGATCCTTCGTTCGTTTCTAGCCTAGGTCCTTATGCGGTAGCGATCGTCTCGCGAGAGATCGGCGATTTCGTTTGCCGAATATGATTGTGCGACGCGAACGGGCCTCATCCGCCAAACTGATCGTCGTCTCCTCTCCTGGACGACGAGCGTCCTCGTCTAACAAGCGCGGTGATCGAGTCGGCCAGATCGATCGAAGCCGCAGAATCCGCAGGATCCGCAGCTTCGTAGGCGCAAAGCAGACGAAGCGAGCACGTACGGCGAGTACTTTCGTCTCTTACCCTCTGCTCTTTTCCTCTCAGCGAAACGCAATTCTCAGGACGGTTATACATCTTTAGAATAGACAGCGAAAACGGAGGAACGCGCCGAGGCGCGTCGTTATAAAATTCGACGTCGAGGACAGAAATTGACGAGTCGGAAGATTGGTCGAATAGACATGGAGAGAGGCTGCCTCCTCTCTGTCGCTCCTTCCTCGTTAGTCGGAGCTACCAGCAGCTCGCCTGCGCGATCGCGAGCGTCTGAAAAGTGTCTCGCGGCCGCGACGTACGCGTTACGAGAGTCCTCAGCCATATCAGCCGTAATCGTAGGAATCCTGATCCGGCCTTTTTCGAAAAAAGCGTCCGACGGAACGACATCAGGAAACGACTGGTTGTATAGCTACACATGCATGCGTGTAAACTCCGACTGTCCTAGACTCGTAGACGTTATCTCGGGTAGAAAAGTGCCGCCGCGTTGACCGCGCAATCGCGAGCCTCCTCGAAAGCGCGATCCTCGTTAAAGCGTTGACGCTTTAACGCTGAAATTAACGTTTTGCCGCATAGCGCCCCACCATATTTTTTCGCAATTTTTGCATACTTTTCGTATCGTTATATTCCTAAAACTTGTACATGCACATGAATAATATAAATATGTAACCATTTTTCCGTCTTTTGGCTCTACTGAAAATTTCTATTATAAATTCATCTCTATTCTTTGTGTATATATGTGCAGAATTTCATTTCAATTTTATTTCAAATTTATTTCTAAGGAAACTAGTAAAAATGAAAAAGTTAAAAGATTTTCTAAATCGACGAATTAAATAAAGTGCTAAACAATATGAGAAAATTTTTTCAAATAAAATACATAGAACTAGAATCTCGCCGCATGCTTGTCGATAGATTAAGAAAGGCTTTTTTTCATTTAAAAGTAGCAAAAATTTCTCCGATGTTGAATTCATCATTTGCTATTCTCAAATTTTTTTAAATTAAAAGAACTGCTTAATTGTTTTTCAATCTGGCTGCCCTATTATTGAATCTGCCGCAGTAATTTTTTAAATTTAAATTTCAGATTTGCAGTTAGCGGACAACACCCTTAACACTCGTATATGCTAAAATTCCGTAAAATATGCTCGATGGAAAAATTCATGCAACAAAGTGTTAATTTGCAGGATCGCTGTTCACTTTTATCGATTACTCGCGCGAAGGGATTGACGAACGACGAACGAGGAGGGGAAAATCCCGCGCGGAGAATGTATACACACTCTCTGTATTTCTCGCGGAAAAAGAGAGATGTAACAAACGTCTCGTGCTTTGAGAGAAATAACGCTCGTTATTGATCCGAACGGCGTAAAGCGAAAACTCTCCTGGACGAACGCGATCTTCGCGAAATTTCCTCGCAGATTCCCGATCTTAAGCGCCATCGGAGCTCGCCATTGTCGTGTCGCTCGGGAATTATGTCGCCGAATGTGTCGCTTATTTTTCAATGTAAGCCGGATCGTGCCTGTCGAACGCGTAGACGTTAACGCGCGCGCGCGCGTTTATCTTTATCGCAGGAGCTGTATTTTATTCCATTGATATATCAACCGCGAACAAGAGAAAATTTCCGTGGATGTGAAACGTCGTTTGTCTCAGAGACGACCTTGATTCTTGATATCAAATTTTTAATTTCAATTCGTGATTTACTTTTTAATGACGAATTTGAGAGTTTTCACGAGTGAAACGAGTGAAAAGATGCAAAGTTCATGCGACAAAACACGCGCGATTGGGGTTTTCAGTCGCAGCGCAACGATGACACGCAACGTGTGAACGCAGCGGACGTTTCTTACGAGAAGAAAAAATCCTGCGACACGAGACAACGCGCGGCTATCAAAATTACGATATATATATGTATATATATATATATAGAGATCGCTCAATTGGAAAATACAAGATTCATATGGCCGAGTGTCGCAGCACTCGCCATGTATAACAATATCCGCGCTCGCGCAAAGGGCTCGAGCTGTGTATGAACGTGTATCGGAAAAAAGTTCTCGGAATCGCCATCATCGCGGCGAAAAATGTCCGATAAAAGTTTGAAGCAATTAGTCAAGCGAGGAGCGAAATGGGAAATTGCACGGGGAGCAGCGGTATGGAACGAATAAAAATACTTTTTGGCCGTTTCCTCATGGTAGCACGAACCATCTGTTCTTGCATGTATAGCGCGCGCACGCGCACACACACACACACACACACACACACACGCACACTATTACGAGATTAATCGTATAATCGACTCATCAATGGCGCCTCATTCCTCCTCATTTATTTCCCCGCGGCTTTGCATCGTACAACCTTGGCGTCGACGAGCGTCTTCTACATATTGATAGTTTATCTCACAATTGACAACAACAATTTGGCCCTTATCCCGACTATAACCTCTCGACGTGTACACAACTACAAACGATTGTTAATAACGAATATTCTTATGTACAATTTCTCTTTACAATTGTTGCACGCACGCGCAAAGTGAAAAAACGCGTGCGAGGCCGTCGTCGTCGGCGTCGACGAGAGAGAAACGGCGTCGGCTGACAAGACCCCCCGTCATCCGGGGGCTCGTCCCCCTCGCGTCCTGGAAGACATATGAAAAAGCACGGACAGCCACCCCCGTCGCGCGCGTCGCACCCGTCCCCGGCGGCGGCGGCGGCGGCGGCGGCGGCGGCAGCGGCACGATCTTCGCGAGTCCGTTCCGCGCGGCGCGTGTGAAGCTCGTAGCTCGTACTCGCGCGCGTACGTCGCGACGACGCGCGGATCGATACTTTATCACGTGCCGATTCGGCTCGTGTACGACGTACGCGCGCACACTCGACCAAGTGAACAGGCTTGTCGGGAGGACGTCGCGCGGGCGCGCGCCGATTCCTTCGCCGACGTGTGACGGCCTCGCGGCCTTATCGCCCGCCGTCTATGGCACACCGCGTGTCTCTCACCGCGTTAAATCGTTCTTTGTTGACATTCGTTGTTGACATTTCGGTGCGCGACCTACAGTCCTCCTGCTGGCTCTCGCATTAAACTGTGCGACTTGCGCCGGAAAGCGCGCTCCTCAAAATTACGGCCCGTTTCGACGCAGATTAGGCACCCTCGGCCGCTCGGCTGTGGCTAATCTGTTATCTCGCTTAGATTAAACCGGCTAGATTATTACTCGTATTATTTGTACGCTTCGAAAGTGTGATAAGATGAACAAAGTCGAAAATAATGTCAAGCGCGCCAAATTGATCCTGCTGGAATTCTGCTGCTATTTCTTTCTAGCTTACGGAAGAGATTTAGTTTGCTTATAACGCTCTCTCTCTCTCTCTCTCTCTCTCTCTCTCGGGAACGACTCAGGTGTGGCATTTAGTGCCGCGATATACAGTTTATTTTTGTTCTCTCGTTGACGCGATTTAGGTTGGAAGGAATCGCTAAATAACTGCGCGGATCTAACAGATAGATCACCCAAAAAATTGTATTCTATTTGTAAAGTGGTTTTTCCCGTGGTTTCATACTCTAAGCGAAGCCTTTCGCAAAAAAAAGGATTCCTCTTTCGATAAAACGATTAAAGCGAAGCATTCATCTAAAATTTATTAGATATTATTCTGTTTTCCTCTTATTTCAAAAGGATTTCCTCTTATATTAATTAATTTTCCTCTTGTATGAAGAGAAATATGTTGATTTGCCTTCTTTTGTCCAGTCATGCTCTCTACCTCCAGACATGAACGAAAAAATAACTATATGCTCATGGATGAGAATATTTAGAACGCTTTTTAAAGCGGGTATATGTACTGCTGTAATATATAACGAAAATAATTTACTCATATTTGGTCAGGTACAGTTTATAATCTATTGCAAGAAGTTGAATACTATATTCTTTCTTTTAACTATGTTTCATATAATTGGTTATGATGAACATCTTTGTAGCTATGGAATCCATAACAAAACTGATTGGAAATTAATTTGTTATGGTGATCTTATTTTATTCGTGCCTACTTATTGTAGAACTAAAGTCAGAGGTACATCTATATATATATATATATATATATATATATATATATATATATATATATATATTACTTTTCGTTATATACATTGTAATAATTTTTTCAAATTAACTAGTATAATCAGTAAAAATAAAATACAATAAGAATAAATAATAATCCTCTTAGAAAAAGATTAAATAATTTGTGTATAAGAGGAAATTTATATTAAAATCAATTAGATTTGCATTGTATATATAAGATATAATCCCTCTATTTTAGACTTTTTAAGAATAATGTGTTTATAACATTTTCCTCTTAATCTTAGAGGAATCCTCTTGAGGCCATACATAAGAATAAAATCCTCTAAAATTGAGATGATTCCGTCTTGTTCTGAAATTATTATTCTTTTTTTTGGGTGATATTTGGTATCAACTATCAACTTCGCGAAAACGTCGGCGAATAATTGTTTGAACTTTTGCCGCTGTCGTCAGCGGTACGCTTGCAATATCGTGACGATTCGGTTATTTAACCGTGACTCTTCGACTTCACTTGTTCGAAGTTTGTTGCGACCGACGATATACAAAATTCACTCGGGTAAGAACACACGTTTGCGATAACACGCGTATCCGTATCGGCCGATTTATCGAGGAAAAGACGGATGCAATTTTGACAAATTGCAACACTACCGCTAATTGGTGCATTCCCCTCGCGGGAAACTATTTCGCGTATGGTATAAATTTTCGTACATCGTCCGATAAAAATTTCTCCCCCGTCTACATTGAGACAACGCCGTCCAGTCGCCGGCGGACAACGCGCGATTATAGCATCTGCATTGAAAAAAGGGGAGCCTCGATATACATTCGTCGAAATGAGACGCGGCCGTTAGACGCTTCATTTTGCCGTACCTCATCAATAATTCAGGCTGAACTGTTCGTCTGCTCCTTCTGTTCGGAGTGAGCTCTTATTGGCAAAGCGTGTGCTCGAATCGAGGGCACCCAGTCTGTATCGAGACGAGATATCAACGCGCGGCGTTTCCGAATGCGGCCGACAATGCAACCGACGACGCGCATGGTCGAACGTCGTGATCGGATTTTTTCACGACATGCCGGAGACGCGATTACACCGCTTACGTTCTAATTAGCATGCTGCCAATCCGAGATCCGTTCGAGACACGCCGGAACTGCCGAGCTTTATTCTCTCTTTCTCTTCTTCTTCGCGCGCGCACACACACACACGCACACACACGCACGCACACACACACATACCACACACCACACACCACACACCACAACACACACACACACACACACACACACACACACGTACGCACGCACGCACGCACGCACGCACGCACACACACACACACACACACACACACTCTCTCTCTCTCTCTCTCTCTCTCTCTCTCTCTCTCTCTCTCTCTCTCTCTCTCTCTTTCTTTCTCTCTCTCTCTCTCTCTCTCTCTCTCTCTCTCTCTCTCTCTCACCGTGGTCTCGTCTGGCAATTTGTCCCCCGAATGACCCGGACGTCTCTCGCCCGTTGGTCTCGTGAGACGAAACGCGACTTCCTGCGACGTGGGTCCTTACGACGTCGTCGTGAGGCACCCTGGTTGTGCCCTCCGCCGCGATAGAGAGTCGCGTGTCGTGACGGCCGGAAGCGGAACGGGAACGACGGACGAGAACGAAGCACTTCCGTCCACGGAGGTTTCCGCTCTAGGGCGGCGCCGTAACGTTCTCGGGCACGGAGTTGTCCCTGTTGAGGGAGTTCAGCAGCTCCTCGTTCTCCTTCCGCACTGAAAAAACGACAATAGCGTCGGATGAGCGGGACGGAGGGACTCGTCGGTGTCAATCGCCGTAATGTTCGGATTTTCCATAATAGAGCCCCGCGATAGACGCAAGAATTTGTGCCCCATCCTTCTCTCTCTCTCTCTCTCTCTCTCTCTCTCTCTCTCTCTCTCTCTCTCTCTCTCTCTCTCTCTCTCTCTCTCTCTCTCTGCCTCTCACCGTACTTTCTCCGCGACAGATTTTTCCTAACTTTCGACGGGCAACTTTAACCGCTCATGAATGAGAAGCGGCGCAAACTTAAATCATTCGCCGCCGAGCGAGCGGTATGAGCTCTCCGTCGAGGAATCCGGCCGCTCAATACAACAGCACTGCGAGAACTCTGCCAAGCGAGTTGGCCAATGAAATTAGCCGCAGGGAGAGGCGTGCTCTTAAACTCGGAATGAGAGGCGGCGAGCAAGCGCGCGCGAAATGAAGACGACGTTGTTACGAAGTTAAACCAGAGCGACCTTCGGCAAGGCCCGGCATTCGACAAGACGCGGCTACCTGGCCTGCAACGCGGGGTTAATATCGACGCGCTTTCATCAAGTATCGCAGATTTACATTGCGCTCTGTACTCCGTCAGCTCCTTCGAGCCCACCACAGGACTGAGGAAACTGCTGTGCGTCAAGGTGACCACCACCGCCAGCACCGACGCCACCAGCAGGAAGATGAAGGTCCCGACGACGACCGTGGCGATTCGTCGGTGACGCCTCGCCTGCTCAGGGTCGCGAGCGTCGTCCTCCATCATCTTCCGCGTCTGCTGAACGTCCGTCTTGGTGGGCCGAACGGAATCTCGCCGGGCGCTCACGGTGCTCGCCCGTCGCGGCCTGCTTTTCTTGCAAACACTGGCTCGCCTATCATCTCCTGAAGTTTACGTCGTCATACGCATTAATGTTAAGGGCCCATCGATTCATCGATCGATTTTTTCGCGGGCGATAATCGGCCCGCGGACGCGCGATGACTCGCGATGAATCGCGGAGTCACGAGCGAGATATGCGATGATGCGTCGGTGGTATCGCTAAATCGATACGGTAATACCTGTGCACGCCAAGACACCCGACGAAGAATCTTCTATCTTCGCGGGATATCGAGGGGATGGAGCGGGGGGGGGGGGAGGGAATGCATCGTCGGCTGCGTAAATTCTCGTCGTGGGTGGAATCCCGTTTGGAAAGTACAGGCGCCGAGTCCTTCAAGTTCGCGTGACTTTTCATTCGCGCAAAGTGAATTTGCCGCTCCGGAAATGCGTCCGGTGGGAAGACGCTCTTACTCGGAGTTCTACGGTGAATTTATGACCGTGGTCCACCGAGCGGCGTGGGAACTCGCGCGATTCGCTCCGATCGATCGGAACGTTCGCCAGCGTTCGCGCGTCAATACTTCCGCCAGCGGCGTGTTTGGCCCGTCGCAGTGGGACGTTTGTAAACGAAAAAGTTGGCCAAAATTACTGTTTGACGAATTTCAGTTGAAAGCGTGCTACTAATTATATGTATGATCGTTATAAAGATTATCATTATAAGATAAGTATTTCATGAAATAAAGTGCAAATATATATGTAAGAATATTTTAATAATTAAGAAAGCATAATATTGCGCATCAATAAGTGCTCAACTAGACAGACTCCAAATTTCTTCACCCAATGAGAGTGTATTCCATCCTCAGAATCAACATCATTTTCATCTATTGAAATATCTCCTCTTCTTGGCGTGCGGTCAGTGTGAGAAGAAACATATCCGATGTTTCCTTTAAAAATGGTTTAGATTTCTCTCTTGGTCTCGAGTCTCATATTTGTTAGTAACGGATCAGAATTTAGTAAAAATCTGTCGATTATGTTTCATATTACAAAAGGAAACGAAAAAAAAAGAAACAAAAAGAAACAAAAGGAAACTTCATGTCTAAATAACCTTTGGGCAAAACCTAATTTACGTTTAAGGAAACAAAAGTGATTACTAAAACTACATCCGCGCTTTTCCACGCGCTAATTCTTTTTGATATTTTATCGGAGAGATTACTCTTTCACACCCTGAAGTATATTCTTCGAGTTTGACATCGAGAACGCAAAAAGATACATTATTGAATGCTATTTTCAAAATCATACGTCCACGTGAATAACCATTTAATTGTAATAAATATAGTCTAAGACGTTTTTTCATACCTTCCTCGAAACAATCCATAACGAAAAATTCCGCGCTGCCACTTCCTTAAAATTCTGATCGAAGATCGTCTGTTAGATAAAGAGCTAAGAATTGATGCGTGCAATACGAATAACGTCCCAATTCCGACTAACCAAACCACTTCGTGTTGTCGCGGATGGACAAAACCATAGCGCCCCGTTATTCCGCAGATATTCAACTGTCCAGGACAGTCACTCACGTAGAGCAAGAATGATTTTAAGAAAATCGACTTTTGGCCAGCTTGTCAGGCCAAACATCCCACGGTGAGTCGCGCAAAACACTCAATTTGTCTATTTATCGATTTTCTTATTCACCCGCTCACTTATTTACGGCCCGATCCGCCCACAACCGGCAACAATGCACCGGGTGAAGATACAATCCGGGATAAAGTCTCAGAAGGTCGGGAACGAAACAACGAGAGGAAACGCTGCACGGAGGGAGCGCGAGGCTACTAAAAATATAACACGGACTATGCAGCGAGCGACTCTTTCCAAGCACGCGCGATGGCGAGCGTGTTAAGGACCCACGCGGTTTGTCCAAAATTCACCCTTGTCACTGCCGACGGCGACATTACTTTCGCGAGCCGCTCGAGTGAACTCTCCGCTCACTTCGCGAGCGAGATTTCACTCCGCGAGAGAGAAGTTCAGGGAGCAGCGCGAGGCGTGAACAGTCTCGAGTGGCGACAACGTTGCGACAAAATTGTCCGAGCTGCTAATTGTGCTACTTTCTTCTCGAGTGATTAGACTCGACATGCCGGGACCAGCGGGAGATATTCCCCCGCTGATCAACGGCCGCCGTTCACGTGATCTCGCCGTGATCTCCTACCTAAAGGGGTCGGTCTGCTGCAGCTGTTGGTCCTCGAGCGGCTCGACTGGACGCTGGAGCGTCTGCTGGAGCGTTGATCGACGTCTAAATTGGACCTCGAGCGTCTCGGGGCGTTGGTCGGAGGGCACAGCGGATTAGGGCAAGGCAGCCTCTCGCCGGAATTCGGAGGATAAAGGGCGGAACGATCGCCCAGCTGGAAGCCGAGCGGACTGTCGGGGCTGGGCGGGTACAGGCTGGAACGGCGACCCGGCCGCGGGCCGTCCGGCTCGGACAACACGTAAACATCCGCGGGAACTCGGCCGTAGAGTTCCGGCGACAGGTCCTGCCCGGTCGCCGCCGCAAAGTCCTCCACGTAGAGGATTATCCTCTCGAAGGACGCGGCGCTCGGACTACGGTCGTCTCTGCCGCGATTAACGTCGGACATCGCGGAGACGTCGGCCGAGCGAAACTTGAAAATCGCACCGCGAAACCCGGCCTGTTTCCCCACGTTACGTTCGAGCTTCAACGTCGATCATTCTCGGCTCGATCCGTCAACTCGACGCGCAGCCGGCCGGGTCTCGAAGTTCCGAAAGTCCCGGCACTTACGAGCCGATTGATCTCCCCCGGCGCTCCGTCGTATCATCGACGACGCGCGCCGCGCCTCCCGAGATCGCATTATCCATCACTTCTCCTCGCTGCAAATTCGGAAATTCACTTCGTTACGAAGTGCCGAAGCGCCGGACGCGATCGCTCGCCGGGAGGGACGAATCGAAAATTCGCCCTGGAGAAACTCGGGCCGTCTACTCCGCGGCGGGGAGGGACTTTTATGGCGGCTAGACGATAAATAACGGTAAATATATAGAAAAGGGTACACCTCACCGATTTTTTTTTCATTTTGAAATATGTTATAAAGGATGAAATTCTGAGTGACTTTTCCTAATACAATTATATGGGGGTCGCTTGTAGTTTCCGAGATATTTGATTTTAAAGTTTTGGAATTTTGATTATCTTGGAATTAAATTCCAGATATCATAAGCTGACGTTATTTGCGGTACAATCCAAACAGTTAGTCCAAACATAGTGTATACATAGAAATATAGGAAACAGTATATATAAGCGGGAGAGGGGCTCCGCCCCTTCCCCACACCCCCTCCTCAAAAAAATCCTAACCTAACTTAACTTATTGCATCTTTATATATTGTTGGACAATGTTGAAAAAATCTCCTTAAAAGCCATAACACCTAGTTATATGCAGATATTATATTAAGTTAAGTTGAACCAGGTGATAGATCTTAAGAGAACTTTTTTCAACAATGTTCAAAAATATATAAAGATGCAATAAGTTAGGTTAGGTTAGGATTTATTTAGGGAGGGGGTGCGGGGGAGGCGCGGAGACCCTCCCCCGGTTATATGTACCGTTTCCTATATTTGAGATGAATGAAAACTGCTTGTCTATTTCAAATACACTTCAACGTGCAATTATAAAACTTTAAAGTCGAATATCTCAGAAACTATAAGCGACCCCCATATAATTGTATTAGGAAAAGTCGCTCAGAATTTCATCCTTTACAACATATTTCAAGATGAAAAAAAAATCGGTGAGGTGTGTACCCTTTTCTACATATTTACCTAAATAACTAAAAAGCTATTTATATCGCGTCGTAAAGGGTGATTAAAGTGGATCGACACCGCGGTGGCTTGCATGGCTAGCCGTCGTCATCGTCGTCGTCGTCAGGGTGGAACACGGGCGTGCGGTGTGCTTTCGCGTTTAATCGCGACCACGGCGCCGCAACAGGCTCAAAGGGGCCACCACGTCGTCTTCTGTGTGAACGTCAGCGGCGTACGAATATTCTTGCGAGAGCGCCACAAGCGCCTTCTCATGACAAGTTTCGAGCGCCTCTCGTGCTCGAAACTTGTTTTATTCCTTGATTATATCCGGCTTATGATTATATTCGAAACTTGATTATATCCGGCGCTCCGCTGCGATATCCCGTGCCTCGGAGCGTTCAATTATCTGTAAGTTGCGCTTAAGCGTGTCGGGAAACGATCGATTCCTTTGTCTCTAACATGATTCCCGCAGTATCACCCCCACGATAATCCACCCCGGACTGTCTTCACTCGCGCCGCTCATCGTGACGCTGCGAAACGAGGAGGAGATGATCGCTCTTGAGATCATCAGCGATCGTCGTCCGAGAAGAAGAAGAAGAAGAAGAAGAAGAAGAAGAAGAAGAAGAAGAAAGCTCCGAACACGACACTACATTCAACACTCGACAATTGCACTTCGCGACGTCTCGTCGCATAATGCAAACTTACGTAACGCGAGCCGCGTGTGCAACACGCGAGCTGCACTTGGCCTTGGTCGTCAAGGATTTTGAACCCGAAGAGAGACACGTGGTTATTGTTCATTATCCTTGGACGTGGCGTTACGCTGCGCAGAGGTCTCTTAGCACAATAAACCCCGGCGGGTAAGAGCGACGTTGACGCAGTGCGAAAGCAAAGCAAGCACGCGCCGACTGTTATCGCTGCGGCTAAATCGCCGCGAGATCGAGCTTTTGCGCCGAGCGGCGAGCCGACGACGGAAGAAACACAATCATCGTGTGGGAAGGAGGCGGCCGACAAAGTGTCGGCGGCTCTTCGTTAAGCGAAACACACGACGTGTCCCTCAGCCTGCAAAAGTCCGCCTTTCTCGCTCCTTTCCGATGCTGCCTCGTCGACCAAGGGGCTCTCCTCTTCCTCTCTCTCTCTCTCTCTCTCTCTCTCTCTCTGCCCCTGCGTTGTACATATCTTGCGCTACTTTTCTGTACTTTCTGTACTTTCTTTTCTTTCATATCTATATATCTACCCTATATCTATATATCTATCCTGTATATCTATTATTATTACTGCCTAAGA